ACTTATTGTGGGGTCTCTTTCCCATTTTTGGTTTTCTTTTCACAAGTTTATCTTCAATAAAAAGTTTCTGCTCCTTGTTGAAAATAATGCTGATAGCAACTTTGCTTCACTTTTTTATTCAGATTGTTTTTGGAGAGAATTTAGTCTTCTCTTTGAATGTTGTTCTGATAACAAGCTTGATCGGCGTACCGGAAGCTAGCAGTGAAAGTTTTCCATTTCTTTCTCAAGTTATTCCGATCGTAGTTTATACAATTCGTTACTGGAACCAGTTCACAAGGAAATACAAAGACCTCCTGGACATTACCTTTGAGATCAAGAAAGAGAAGTTGGAACAGCAAAGCGAAAATGTGGATGTAGAGCAACGAAGTTCTGAGAAAGAAATAGTTGTATCAACGAAAGACTTTAATTTGTTATGTGAACATGTCATTCCGATCAAAGAACAAAGTATTCGACTGTTTGGGAAAGTCGTTGGAACACTTTTATTTTTAACCATATCAGTAACCATGTTGTTTTGGAAAAAGTCAAGTGATTTTGATTTTGCAAGTATTGACAAAATTGCGATGTTTGTCTTCGTATTTTTGTTCCCGAAACTGGTTGAATATTGTTGTGGAAATATGAATGAAATACAAACCAATAATTTAAAAGTCAAGGTGAAGAAATTTTTGAATAGACTTGAAAATGAGGACCTCACTGAACCAAATAAAGTTGAATTTAGTCAAGTGAGTAAAGATGTCGCTTGCTTATGGGAATCCTGTTGTGAAACTGAAATCATCGATGACAATAATGTACATGAAAGTAAATCGTTAAAAAGTGAGAACCACGTTGTGTAGCTAGACAGACCATGCAGTTGCAATAAATATGCATTTTTTGACAGATTTATTTTTCATTAAAAGCTAGACTGCTATTTTAAAAGATTTCTTCATTTTTTTTTAAACAATATAATGTTTGTGTAAGAATTCTTGCACAATTTCGAAAGTAAACCATATGTTTATTAAATGACACATTCAATATAAATCAGGATACTTCAATTTAAAGGTACATTTTGGTATTTCGACATTTCACTTTTATTTGTGACGGGGAATAACCTTTTCGCTTGTGGAATATTTATGAAGTTTATTTGTTTTGATGCATTGTGGAATCTCCAGTTTTTGCCCTTATAGTTCTTTATCGTTCAAGTGATCATAAATCGACAGAAAAAGTAACATCAAAGAATACTTGATGAAGGAGGATCAACCGGGTGACATATATAAGAGTTTGTGCACTGTAAGAGCTCGATGAACTGATAATGAGTTGCGAACACTAAAATCTTGAAGAAGAAAAAAAAAATACGTATGATTCAATAAGTTCTTTAAAAATTCTGTCGTTATACGTTTAATAAATGTTTTATTCCACAGAATTGGATTGGACTTCATTAGCCTGAAAAAGTTTTTTGTATGACTGGCAATTGCCACTTCAGTATTAGAGTTTAGTCTCTTTTCTCTATTCTGAATGTAGGTTAATATGAGTAATATCCTCACGTCACAGACTATGTACCTCTCATTTGATACCTTTCTTTGGAAATATGATAAAGCTACCTTTAAAATCAACTGTTGCTGCATATTATACTTTAATATTTTATTCCCAGTTTAAAAAATTGAAAAGATCCTTTTTATTTTAAACAGACTAAAGTATTTCAATGGCATATAATTATAAACATGTATGCCAAGTACTATTCTCTATCGAAATATACTCAAAGTTTTGTGCAATATCACTTTAAAAAGTAAATTACATATACATAATATATGTAATAATATTGCAAAACGCAATGCTTGTGTCGACATAACTTTTCAATGAGGAAGTTGTATAAATTTATTTTTAAAATAAAAGTGATGGGAAAAAACGTCGTGATGATTAATAAACAAGGTACGTGCATGTCCTTAGTTTGAACTTGCATTCATAAACAACATTGTAAATAATGTCAGTAACTTGACTTATGATTTTTCAACAACAAAAAGCAAAGTATAATGTAAACAAGATGAAGTCGTAAAGAATGGCTAAAGCTTCATGTTAACCCGTTTGAAAAAAGAAGAAACACGGAGAATATTTAATATACATGTATTCGTTTTAAATTCATGGGAAATAGGTTTCAAACGTTGACACGGGAGAAGCAATACAGAAGTAAATACGATTAGATATAGAGATGGTCGTTGCAGGTTTTAAAAAAAAAGTTGATCAAGGGAAAGTATTTCAAAGTAAATAAAATGCGAAATGCATAACCTCAGATCTTCTTGAATCCTTTTCATTAGCTTCGTCGTCTTGAACATCTAAGATAAATGTGTGCACTTGCAGATAATTTCATTTCTTCCTAACTCAGTATATTTGTAAGGATAACTGGCGTGTGTTAAGTTAGTAAGATTGTTTATTTTCTACATAATGTGTCACCTTCAAGTGTATTTTCTCGGAGGCCAGAGAAATACATATGAAAGCAATAAAGGACAATATCAAACAAACAATGGTAAAGATGAAAATGGTGAAGATAACGATCAGTGATCGATCTCAAAATTCTTTTAAATTAATAAACGGGGCATAATACGTGGGCTCCTGGAAACTCCAGAGGGAGGCGCCTGGGCGGAGTAAGCACCCCCATTTCGACCGGTCACACCCGTCTAAAAACTCTAAGCAATTTAATATAATACAATAGTCTAAAAATTGATATGAAACATATCAGTCAAAAAACCGACCCAATGATAGGTTGTATTTGCAAACTAGTTCAGTAAAACGGCCATAGAATTTTCGAAATGCTAGAATTTTAAAATATCTGTAACATCATCTTATTTGTTAATAGCCTTTCCCGCTTTAAAAATTGATCGTACTCAGAGCATGCTCTTGCCTATTGAATAAGTTGGGAGATATAAACACCATATGCAGGTGATAGCGGGATATTACTACAAAAATAAGGAAAGTTTACGATGGAAAGGTTGAAATCATCTTGTTTGTAATATAGTTTAATTGTTAGTTGGCCATTATCTTCTATAGTCAGTAAAAAAATCCAACTATGAAAGAGATGAGGCAGACTTTTTGATATATTTTATCTCGAGCTCACTGCTATATATCGGGTCGACATATGAATGAAAGTAGCTATTTTTAATTGATAAAACGTCATCGATGTCGAATTAAAGGCCACACCAAGAGTTTTCTTCTCAAGTACAAGTTTTTAAATAAATTCTGCTTCATAAGAATATAAGGACAAGTCGCCTAATAAAGGAACACAATCAGTGCCCATTGGCGTTCCGACAGATTTTTGGACTTGGTCCTTAAAGATTACATACTAGTAGATACTGTCAATGAGGAACTCCAGCATCTTTTTTAATATCTACTTCAGATTACTTGCGTGTAGAATCAGAATGATTTATAACAAAGTTATGACCATCACAAGATATGAAATATGGAGATAACGAATACTAATCAAGCTCAAAAGTCATAGAAACATAAATCGGGAGCAGAGCAAACACGAACCTCTAAAAAAACATCAGAGGTAGGATCAGGTGCCATGGAGGAGTAAGCTTCCCCTGTCTACCGGTCACACCCGCCGTGTGCCCATTGTCATAATCGGGCAAACGGAAAAATCCCTGGACAATTCGGTGTTTAAATAATGGTCTTACAATTAGTATGAAAAACGTCAGTTAGTATTCGACTTAACAATAGATTGTATTTGCTGACAAGGTAGTTGTATCGACCATAGAACTTGAAAAATGATCACGTTAATGCCTGTTGACTGTTGGTATCCTTGTTTCATCAACTTGTTTGTCAATAGCTTGCCTCGTTTTAGAAATTGTTCGTACGTGGAGCATGCTCTTGTGTATCGAATCAACTGGAAGATTTAAACCCTATATGTAGGTGATAAGGTTATATTGCTACATACGTAAGAGAAGTTGAAGATAGAAAAGTTGAAGCCAATACGTTTATCGTAAAGTTTTGTTGTTGGGTTACCATTAACGTCTTTTTCTAGTAAAATATCCTAATATGAAACAGATGTGTCAGACTTTGTGGTATCTTTTATTTCAAGTTCACTGGGATATTTCGAGTCGACATATGAATGGAAGTACGAAAATTTCCTATTTCCATTTTTACTGAAGAGGTAGTTGTTGATGCTATAAAAAGCCTGATATTTAATTTATCGTGAGGAATGGTGTATAAAGTATTGAAAAATCATGCCTTTTGATGTTACTGACTTTGGAAAAAATTGTGGTTTTACATTTTCTAAAGTTTCTTTGGAGTATTTAAGAATCCATATTTGATTTACATCACTTCTTGAATATGTTGTATCAAAGAAGGTCTGAGGTTTCTCCTTCACAACGTGGTGGAGCATGCTGGCAAATGGAATGGAAGGACAAAGAAAAATTTTACAAGCATATATAAAAGTACATGCCCGGAACATGAATTTCTTCTTTTATTACATTCTAAAATTTATAGTGGTATGTTTTCTAGATCTATATAGATGTGACATTTTTTGTATTATTTATAGAATTCTTAAAATTGGTGAATGAATATGCATGTTTTGAAAGAGTTTCACACAGCTCTCACACTTTTTTAGGCTGTGATAACTTCATAATTCTAAGTTCAACATTCAACAAAGGTTGCAGCACAAACATAGCAACCCCTTTACATTTTCAAATACAATGCTTTGATTTGAATTTAGACTCTTTGTAGCAGGTGTGGGATCGGGTTACATTGCACAACGGTCAATTACCTACTAAATTATAACTGCCTGGTACTTAGAGGATATCTTTATCTAGGGGCTTTGTTATTGTTGAATTTCTGGAACGTGCAATTTCGTTTAAATTAGGGGTAAAGGACAAGTCAAATATTTGACACCTACATTTCTTATATTCGAGTCCATTTTCCAGATTCAAGAGTTTTTATTATGCTAAGTTTTTTTTTACTAACTTCTACTTTCGTGTTTTTAAACAAAGGACATGCGCTTGAAGATTGTTACCGGAAATAACTTCATAAAGTAAACACACAAACCGAAAGTTGATTGTTCACTCACGGTTCAGGTAAATTTTTACAGGCAGGATACGTTTTGTAATTCCTCTAAAAAAATGTTTGAAAATGTTTACCTGCATGTGCATCCATTCAAAAATATCGTTTTACATTGTTTTATGTCACTTTTTTTGAGATAAATTTATTAATATAGGCATAATATTATTTGTATATCATTATAATTGTTATCTATGTTTTCAATGTCTTAAATGAATGAAATGCACATTTGGTATAATAATGTTATAACTATCATTGAAATGCCTAGTAAATGTTTTAATTGTATCTTTATCTTTAGTGATATTATATAAAATGGTTAACATCTGTTCCATGAATAAATTATTCTTAACTTTCAGTTTCTTTTAGTTATTTATGGCAAGTGTAAGTGATGGTGTGGCACCCCGGAAACACAGATTGTTTGTGGCTGCCATTGACTTTGGCACCACATATTCTGGCTACGCCTTTTCATCAAAAGACGACTGGGAGAAAGAGCCTCTTAAAATCAATGCAAACATTTGGAATTCCGGAACCAAAAGTCTATTATCTACAAAAGCTCCCACAACTCTTTTGCTGAATCCCAACAAGACCTTCCATTCGTTTGGATATGAAGCCGAAACTCATTATTCCGACATGGCGGACGAGGAGGAAGACTACAAATCTTATTACTATTTCCACTGCTTCAAGATGTTGCTTCACAACAACAAAGTAAAACACAAAGATAAAACACAAAATATGGCGATGTGTAAAATTTCTTTGTAGTAAAATGTTTTTTTAATTGGTGTGAAGAAAAATTTAATCACCAAGTACATTTCGTATACTTAATAACATTCTCTTATAGTCCATAGTTGAGAAAATTTATTGCTTCATAAATGAAGAACATGCAATCACATTGCTATATATATTCTACTGCATATTTCGTAACGTTTCATATAATGTGCTGTTATTTGCCAGAAATTACGGAGAGATACAGAGATAACAGACGCAACAGGGAAAAGCCTGGACGCAATGACAGTTTTCAGCATATCCATTAAATTTCTTAGAGACCACCTCTTTAATAGTCTGTCGGACAAGTTCAAAGATATTCAAAAAGATGACATACACTTTGTACTAACCGTTCCAGCGATATGGGATGACAATGCAAAGCAGTTTATGCGAGAAGCAGCGGTGAAGGCAAGTCATCTATAGTATATACTGGATATACATTTTCATGGGGAGGGGGGGGATAGCATGGAAGCCGAAATACAGTGTATTGTGTATAGAAAAAAATCTGATTTCCAAGGTTAATAAGGATGCCAACACAACAGACAAGTGTTTGAAGTGCCAATAAAAATCCAATTGATGTTTGTTGACTACAGGAAGCAAATTCAGTTCACAATATAAGCATTTGTTCTCATGTTTTTGGAAAACATTACAATTTTTCAATAGGGTAATTTTTGAAAAGGCTATGATAAGTTTATTAACTTAATGTCAAGAGAATGTGGTTATTTTCTCTAAATATTTTATACTTTAAACTTAGTCTTAATTGTTTTTTAAAGCGGAAAACTTACAAATTAATATTATATTCTTGTTTTTGCCATATGTTCATGTTTGAATTTGCTATGTATTTAAGAAAGTGAAGAATATCATATAAACAGTTTCCATTATTATTTGAAAGAAATACTAGTATGTTGTAATTTATTTAACACAGGCTGGGATATCTAGGGAACAGCTATCCATAGCTCTAGAACCGGAAGTAGCTTCCATTTACTGTCAGTATCTTCCTCTTGAACGCCAAAAATTAAAGAGCGGGACTTCTTTTTTAGACGTCGCCAAATCAGGGTCAAGGTTCATGGTAGTAGACCTGGGAGGTAAGGACTGCAGCTTTTCAGTGTTATATCTTTTTGGTAGGAATTAGTACAAATTCAACATTTAAAAATAAGGTCACATTTACTGTTTAAAAAAATTAGAAATGCCCCATCATTTCTGGAAAATTTCTATATGTTGTCGTCTTAAACTACAATATGTCTTTTTATTTTTTTAACACGAAATTGTAATTAAAGCTTCTAGAAAGTTTATAGGTTATCAGATATTTAAAGCTAACTACCAAAATGGCAGTTTATATTGTATGATGATAATATTATCAGTTTTGAAACGCAATCACACATATCACGAATATCAAGAATAAATTTGGGGGTTTTGGTAAAGTTAGTTTTATTTTTCAACTAAGGTGTTGAGTTACACACACTTTTCTATCACAATTCTAAGAAATAATTTACAAAGCTAGATAATTTCGTGACGTTTTGTCAGTTTGTACTTGTTTCTTTTTACAATTTTAGGCGGGACGACAGACATTACCTTGCACGAACGCTGTAAAGGTGGAAAGTTAAAGGAAATTCACCGGGCCTCTGGGGGTCCGTGGGGTGGGCGGGACATCAACGAGGCATTTTTCTCTTTCCTCAAAGAATTGTTTGGACAAGATGTAATTGACAAGTTTAAGATAGATCATATGGATGACTATTTAGAGCTGGAAAGAGAATTTGAAACAAAAAAACGCATGATAACATTTGAAAAACCAGGTCGAGTTAAAATGACCTTCCCCCTGTCTTTGTTTGACTTGGCAAAAACTGCAAGAAATGCAAATTCTGTCGATGAAATAATCGGCCAAAATGCTAAGTATGCAGGGAAAGTGAATGTTAAACAACAAAAGCTTCAAATTTCTAATGAAGTTTTTAAGTCCTTGTTCCACCCAACCCTTGATAGCATCGGAAGTCACATTCAGAAAATATTAAAAGATAAATCCGGTGAAGTGGACAATATTTTAATGGTTGGGGGATTTTCCGAGTGTGAACTTGTTCAAAATCAACTGAAAAACGTTCTTTCAAACAGAAAGATAATTGTACCAGACGATGCTGGACTCGCCGTTTTAAAAGGTGCTGTTCTGTTTGGCCATATGCCACAAGTGATCACTTCCCGAGTGGCACGACACACCTACGGAATTCAAAGTTGGCCAGAGTTTGATCCAGAAAAACACCCACCGTCGAAGAGAGTTGTGATTAATGGTGTCGCACGATGTAAAGACGTCTTTTTCAAATATTGCACAATAGGACAGGAAATCACGCCAGGATTTCAATGTTCCCAAACTTTCCAGGCTCTGAAGCCAGACGAAGACACTCTCGAATGCACAATTCACGCCTCTTTTGAGGAGGATCCAAGATTCGTCACGGACGAGTCTTGCTTTCGTCTTGGGACACTTACAGTTCCTTTGCCAAAGCGACGGTCAAACGAACCGCTTGAAATAGAGGAAACGATGGTGTTTGGAGAAACTGAACTCCATGTCAGAGCAAAAGATATTACTCATAATCGAACTTATGAGGCTTTCTTTAACTTTCTGGACAACTGAGATTGTTGAGTGTTATCATTTTATTGGAATGTTCACACGAATTCAGTTATGATCTGTTTATGAAATGGGCTAAGAATATTTATTGTACATTATTTGGTGCCAATGTAATAAAATGATACAACTAAATTACTGAAACACCAGTTACAAAATTTACTCCATTTGACATTGAGTATTAGTACTGTCTGTTACAGTTTAGTATTGTATGAAACTGATTACCTAATCAGCGAGCTTGGAGATTTTGCATCTTTTTTTTAGAAGACGTGTGCAATTTGCGCGTGTTCTCATGAATCTCCATTTCAAAAAGGGATTATCTATTGAACGAGCTCCAAACTCGGAATGACCGTATGTTGATCCTTGGCATTAGAAATTGGTTTTTTTGTTTATGTGGTTCCCCATCTTCGTCATTCCCCGTGCTCAAACCATTGTAAATATGCCAATCTTTTGTGCTTTCATAGTAAGGACTTCATAGTTGTAACCTTGTTCTAACAAGTTATTTCCAATATTTTGCAAAGAGATTTCTTGTGGTAGACAGTCAAATTTGTCTCCTGTCTCGAAGTTAGTTTTCCGTGTTCCTTTTTTCACGTAGTAGAGCGTGAAAAAGCAAGTTTTCTATATATTCAGCTCGATGTTTATTTTCAGGCCTGAGGGGCACTACTTATGTCTTCTGATATTAAAGTGGCTCGTTTAATTTACCGATTCAAGAATTGGTCTCCAAATACTTAAGGAACAAATTTTTTGAAAAATCAACTTAAATATTTTTTTTTAAAAAAAATAACATGGAGTGACTGAGTGAAAAAGGTGAAGATGACGAAGAGTGAAAGTATAGTGATCGATGCATAAAAAATTCAGTAATCCCTGTACCTGAGGGTTAACAAGCAGAGGATACAAACGTTATTGCCTTGAACGTCTTTAACAATCTTATCCTAAAGTCCAAATATGAAGCATATGTGGCAGCCTCTGTGGTGTCTTTTATCTCGAGGTCACTGGAATATATCGAGTCGACATATGAAAGGAAGATCGAAGCAACTTGTTAATTTAGAAAAAAGTCGTCGATATATCTGAATGTCGAGTTGAAAGCCAAGTGTTTTCTTGTTCTGATGTAGAAGTTTTTGAATAAATTCTGCTTATAAAGGGGTACAATTCCCGAGATCTGTACTCCGATAAAGCACGGTTCATGGTGGTTGACCTTGAGCGTCACCATACGTTTTGATGCTACTGACTTTTCAAAAATTTGGGCATTTTAGATTTTCCAAAAGTTCTTTGGAGTTTTTGAGAGTCCACATTTGATCTCCACATTTCGAATATGCTGCAGTACCTCTGAAGTTTCTTCTTTACAGCAGTTAATATATTTGCGAGGAGTATAAAGATAGGGGCTTAGTTGACCATTTGCTGGACCCGGCAATGTATCTTTGTTTGTATGGATTTTTAAGTTTAGCAATCCAGTGTAGGTAGGGTAGATCGAACTCACATTTGAAGACTCTGAAGTAAAATGACGATAAATAGAGAGTAATAGGTCGTGTCCTTTTCCCCCTTCTTGTTGATAGTAAGAGTAAATTTCCTGCAATCTATGGAAAAGTTTTTGGAGCTCGGAAGCCAACATATGTCTATCTGGTAACTGCATGACGCAGTTGTTGAAAGGCTTGGAATCGAAATCGAAGTGTCGGTGGAGAAATGACCTGATCATGCTTTGCAGAAGCAGTAGACAACCTACCAAAAAACCTTTTTAAAACTTTTAAATGTCCTATTCGGCTGACAAGATCGATTTTTTATTAGATTCTACAAAAAAAACGCAAGGTGTGCTTGGGGCTGCTTTATAGAATTTTTGAGTATTTCTTAAATAAAAAATTAACGCTGAGCTAGGATCTGCCTGGCGAGTATTCGTTTTCCGCAGAGTGTAATCTAGCTAGTACAGTGGTGCAAATATTTTTCCAATCATGACAGAAGTGAGAGCCCCACATAAATTTTGCAAATTTTTGCTTTTCTCCTTCCTGCACGTCCGAAAGGTTATATAGATGAGGCAAAAGTGCTGATTCCCCATTTTTAATGCTTTTGTTGGATATTAGTTTTTTTAAGAATTTTCACACGGTTGAAAAGATAGAAAGTTTTCTCAAGGTCTGCTTTGGTTGGTTCATTGTCCAGTTCCTCGTGTATTGATAGTGCTGGGATGTTGCCGAGTGCCTCCTCAGCTCTGAAACTTCTATGCACAGGTCAACATAGTGCTCTACCCATAGTTTCTTATTTCGACTCATCATTTAAGAAAAGCTATGTTTCACACGTTCATAATACATGGCCATGTATTTTTTTAAGTGATGGTCAACATAGTGCTCTACCCATAGTTTCTTATTTCGACTCATCATTTAAGAAAAGATATGTTTCACACGTTCATAATACATGGCCATGTATTTTTTTTAAGTGATATACCTTCCAACTGAGCACATTTAACTCATCTTGATGAAGTCTCGAATAGCTAAGATGGGAGAGGGTGTGTGTGCGTATTACACTTTCTTAGAGAAGGAGAACCCTTACTTTACTTTGTAATTTTAGTAACAGCGAGAACTGTAGTAAGTTCCCGGAAACTTCTCGCTAAGCTACATATATACAGTAGGCATTAGGATGCGTAGGTTTACCAGTGGTTTTAAATTAGTGATCAGTTTCAAAAATTGAGAAGGTCCATTCCCAGGTAGTCAAACTTCCATGGATAAAAAATCTTTAAAAAAAATAATAGTGAACAAACCAGTCTTACTTTGGTTGCTATAACTGACCTCTATTTTCTAGCCAGTTTAAATTCTGGAGGAAGTTCATTCCCAGATATTTATCCAAAAGGATGAACTTTACTGCGTTGCTGCGGATTCTGTATTTGACGGACATTTTCCGATATATGCTTGGATTAATGTTTAGAGCAGGTCTACAGTGACTAAATTTCCTTGCTATTCCATTTTATCAGGTAAAGGTCTATACTTCAGTGACAGTTCTTTACACATCATAATACATGAAAATTATGTTTATTATGCCCCAGGATCGAAAGATCCCGGGGGTATATTGTTTTTGTCCTGTCTGTCTGTTTGTCTCTCTGTCTGTTGTCAACTTTAACCTAGCCCATAACTATTGCGCTGTCAAGGGTAAGGCTGTAATATTTGACATGAGTGTTCATTATGATAAGACCTTTCCATTGGTACAGAAATTTTTGATCATGTGACCTCAACTGTGACCTTTGACCTACATTTTAAAAACTTTTAACATTGGCCATTACTATTGCACTGTAGTCAACGTCCCACTCCAGAACTGTGTTATCATCGGGGGCATAGTGTTTCACAAACACATCTTGTTTTAATTTGTGTTTCTCGTGTATTTCAGTTTTGTCTCATTATTTCTCTCTGGTAATTTCAATCCTCCTTCGACTGTTTTACTCCTGCCCTCACGGTCTTTCTTTTCGATATCTAGTCCCCACGGTGACCCTTCACTCATGTACCTGCGTCTACATGATTTGCCCGTAAGTCCTCTTTGCAGGAGTTTCTGCATGTATTTACGATAACGATTGCCTGGTCGAGAAGCTCTGACCATAGCGTAGATCTCTGGAACTTGGGAATGTGTCTTTGTATAAGTGTTTACCAGTTTTAATCATCTTTAAGGGTTCTCACATAGCACTGAAAGTATGCTCATATCTTTGTTTTCCCAACTATGGAATTTCAGAGATGGAAACTTTGATACAAATAAAAATTATATAATGCAAATGAAAAAAATATACAATACAAATGGAAAATTATACAAATGGAAAATTATACAAAACAAATGAAAATTAAACAATACAAATAAAAAATTATACAATACAAATGAAGAATTATTGAATACAAATTAAAAAAAATTACAATGCAAATGAAAAAATATAGAAAACAAATAAAAATTTTACAATGCAAATGAAAATTGTAGAATACAAATGAAAATCATAGAACACAAATGGAAAATTTTACAATACAAATGAAAATTTTACAATACATATGGAAAATTATACAATACAAATGGAAAAGATCTTTCAAGACTGTAATCTCTGGACAGTTCCACATTGTTCTCTAACCACTAGCATTTAGAAGGCATATACATACTGTATTCAGTAGATGAGCATCATTTGAGCCAGTAGTCATTTGTACTGGTCATTCCTAAACCTTTTACATACAAAGGTCATTTTTAGTGTTTTAAGGTTTAATTGGTGATGTCTTCCCTTCTATTGATGAGTGCTTACATGTATTTCTTTTCTTGTCTTGCAACATCCATAGCTTAAAAATTAGCTACATTCTAATCAGTGCTGCATTTCAACTGTTATCCAAACGGATGCCATAAGTGATTTGTGGATACAGTATATGTATATGGCACTATCAAAATAGTTAAGTACGGTATCCAAAAATTTCTTTTACAAGATAATAAACCCAATGTTGCATTTTTTCAGTCAATGAGAATTGTTGAAATCTTCACGAGTTTTTTTTTTTTAGCTCTGTTGTTGTCATTGTAGTAAACTTTTCTTACAATTTCACCTTCTTCTGCAGAAACGCTGGGTCAATTTCAACCAAACTTGGCATACAGTATCCTTAGGTAAAGGGGATTCAAGTTTGTTCAAATAAAGGGCAACACCCTCTTCCAAGGGGAGATAATCAAAAAAAAAGTAAAAATTGGGTGGAGTCATTTAAAATCTTTTTCTCAAGAAATACTGACCAATGGGCCAGAAAAAATGAAACTTAAGTGAAGGCTTCCTGACATAGTGCAGATTCAAGTTTGTTTAAATCAGAACCCTGCAGCTGGTGAGGGAGTTATTTTACATTATGGATTTTTCCAACAGGCTACATATTGACCAGGGCAGGAATTTACCAGGTATGTCATCATGGAGCTACGTACCACGGCTTCCCATCCTATGGGTAGTAGGATGGTAGAACGGTTCAAGCAAACTCGGTATGCTGAACGACAAACTAAAAGAGGAAAGTCGAATATAAGTGTTGTTGTAAGTTTATGTGTGCAATGTCACTAAACATGACAATACGGGCTTTAAGATTTTTTTCCCGATATTTGTGCGGCATCCGCGCTTGTCTATGTCTCAGTCGATCTAAAATACAGATTCTTCCGAAAGTTCCAATTTGTGCTCATATTGGAGATGAATTTCATTATTCATTTAAATGCACTGATCCATACATTAAAAACTCTAGACTCGCATGTTTGTCCAAATATTATCATACGAATCTTAATTTTTTTAAGTTTGAACTATTACTGAATTTAAATTTAAAAAAAAATATGGAGATAACGAACAGTAATCAAGCTCAAAAGTCCATTGAAACAATACGAATCGGAAGCAGGGCAAACACGGACCTCCAAAAAAACCATCAGAAGTGGGGTCAGGTGCCATGAAGGAGTAAACTGTGTAATCTTATTGGGATTATAATTAAGAGTTGGCTCTCTTGGTTTATGAGTTATTGTCTTTTCCACTGCCTTTCTTTTTTTCTCACGTATGCTTTATTGTAAATATTTCATATTTATAATATTCTCTCTATACTTTTGTTACAGTTTATGAAAATAAGCTATTGAAAAGCCTAATAATCGTAACAATTACTCGAAAATTAAAAAAAAAAAAAAAAGAGTAGAATTTGCTTCTCGGGAAGCTCATCCTCACAATGTCAGGGGTCCTCTGTCATTTTGCGGGCTGACTGCAGCGACGTCTTTCGGGAAAATTACAAGTTTGATAGTTTTTCTTATCTCTCAACCAATACATTTGAATAGCCTATTCGTATCACGTGCATTTTAGGTGTCAACTGATTCTTTCTGTTTATATTATCTGTCTACCTCAATTTGATTGGTGCTTCTCATTGAGAGAAGCAAGCCCGAAGATATCGAATGAAATTTGTCAGGGGTCCTACGGCAACGAGTTGACACAGGACACCTTTAACGTTATGATGATGCGGGAAGCTGAAAAAGAGTGTTGCAAGATACAAATGCAACTGACACTAGGGTAGACAATCAAAAAGACAGATCAGCGGTGACCGTGTTTCATTTGGAAGTGTTGAGTTGAACTGGCCATGTCTTCATACTACTAAGAATATTAAAGGTAATACATTACGAAGGGCATATACGGATGTTTTACAGCAAAACGAACACCATTTCAAACCATGCCCATGTCTGTTATCTTCACCTTTATCAGATTCCTGAATCAAGTATCCATTTACAGAAGATTGACACTGTCTATTTTAAGATATGAATCACATTTCCAATGATCACTTATTTTTAATGATTTTTGCATATCGATGACAGTTCCTTAATTCCTATACTAAACCCATTACGGTACCATCCAGAGAATGTGGCTTTTACACTACACGAACAAGCTTGCATTAAGTTAAGAGGTAATATGGCTTCGTCGTCCTTCAGACTTACAAAAAATATTTCCTGTATGCTCTTATACGTTCATAAGCTTTTGAGCTGTGTGATCTGACCCTTGCCCCATCGGCCATATTACATAGTTAGTGCAGCATTTCAACTGAACTAATTGAAGACTTGCTGTCATATGTCTGAAGCTTGGCAATTTAAAACATTGGGATTCATCCTGATCATTTGCTCAAAACGTGACCTAAACTATGGCTAATTCATAATATGGGTCGAAGTTCCATGAAATTATGATCATGTTAAAAATTTTACTCATGTCATGACTTTACACATGCAATCCTTTACTGGAATGATTTCAGTATTTTTCAAGTCCTTGTCCAATACATGTAAATTATATGTGTCTTGATTAATTAAAAGTTCTGTTATAAATGACATGGGATACAAAATCTTAGATTAAGGCTGGAAAAGGGAATCAATTATGTTTGATTTTTCGTAATCATTCCTGTCATGAGCATTTTTCTCTGTTTATCTGCTTCTCCCAGTGGCAAAAATATTCCAAAGAGATTCGGGACCATCAGTGGAAGCAGTATCCCTTACATTTCAATAGAACCCATCTGACTCGTTCATTACAAGGAAATTAAAACCTCGGGTTTTATTATCATTTGTGTATGAACATGAAATGAAGAAAGCATTGGAATAGGAAGATCAAATATAAAAGAAAACATTCACAATTTTTGATTCATAAACTTCAATGTATGTTACATACACTAGAATGAAAATTCTAATCAAAATTTATGTTTGTCATTCATACACAATCAAAGTACAATAAAATGCCACTACCTTGAAACACACCACACAATTACCAGAAAAAGTACACAATGATAATTTTAGCTGAAAGCTAATGCTGATCAAATTAACCGTTAATCATATTTGGCAGTCAAATGTCCAAATCTTGGTTACTCTATATAATAAATTCAAAAGAATATCAAAAAAAAAAAGAATATGAAAAAGTATCAGTAAGGAAAATTTGAGCCAAATTTAAATGTATGAAGTAAATTAGAAATTCAAAATTTTTGGGGGGAAAATGCAAAGAAAAGTGACTCTCATAAAATGAAGAGAAAAAGACATGTGAAAACAATTTCAAAAAAACTTTCCATAGCTAAGCAGTGAACACAAATGTATTATACCGTGGGTTGCATTTTCATTTTCTAAATATTCTTAGTTCAAGAATAGCACTTCATGTCAGGTTATCTTCAGATAATTTATCACTGTACATATGTATTATTTGATTAAAAAGTTGCACGATTTTTATAGGATTGGTTCTCATTTTCATCTACTACATATACATGTATGTTCTTATATAACACTAGATTAAAGATTAGTGTGCTAATATACTAGCACATACTATACATAAGTGTCTGACAATTATACACATAACAAAAATAACAGTTACTCTAAGCTAGACTGAAAACAAGGACATTCGATATTTAGAACAAATCAGCTGCTAAATAGAATCAATTAAAAATCTACAATACTTTAGTATCTTCAGTAATAGATATTCACAGTTTTTAGAACATGGAATGGTTATCATCTAACCTATCATTGTAAACAATTCGAATTACAGGAAACATTCCAACTTTTTGCATTAAAATCATGACCTATTAAACAATTAAAAGATTAATTTACCAATTTACAAATATGGCACAATAGAATATTACATTATACTGTACACATTTTTTTTAACAAAAATGAAAAAATCTTAAGAAAGCAAGTGTTTTGATTTTGTTAGTAACTAATTTCCATTTTGAACGACATTGTTACTTAGAAGGTCAATGGAGACTTCACATTGTTGGTTGGTGTATATGTCCCGAGCTTGCACCTCTAGTTCAGTGTCACCAAAAATCATGGTTTCCTCAATTTCCAATGAACAACCCACTGAAACCCTTGGCAATGGTACCCTTAGAGTACCAAGCTTTCTACATGAAGCATCATCCACAAAAACTGGATTTTCTTCATCCGACACATAAATAGCACATTCCAAACACTCCTCATCTGGTTTAAGAGCTTGGAAGATTTGTGACCTCCGATATCCAGGGGTCAAAAGTTCACCTTTGGTCACATACTTAAAGAATACATCTCTACATCGTGCTGTAGTTCCAATCATGACTTTCTTGGCATCCGGATGTTTGGATGGATCAAATTCAGGCCAGCTTTGGATGCCATATGTGTATCTTGCCACACGACGCCCAATAGTTTTGGGAACATGGCCATAATACACTGCTCCCTTTAAAACTGCAAGTCCTGCATCTTCTGGTATAATCACTCTTTTATCCTTAAAATTATTTTTTATAGCGGTTTGAACTAGTTCACATTCAGAAAATCCACCTACCATTAATATTGTCTCTACATCATGTACATTTTTTTCCATGAATACCTCTTTTAAATGTTTTACAATGCCATCAATTGTAGGTTTGAAAAGGTCTTTAAATACATCTATTGCCATGTGTAGTTTCATGTTTGCAAAATGGACTGATTCCCCATAGTTAGATTCCTTCAATATTTCTGTCATATTTTTTTTCATTTTTTTCTCTGCCAGACTCTTTACAGTCAGGGGTACTTTCATGTGAACTTTCCCAGTCTTTACAGTTGAAATGTTTCTTTTCTTGCTCTCAAATTCTCGAAAGAGGTCCAGATAATCTTCCATATTCTCTGTTTTTAATTTGTCCATTACTTCTTCACCAAGGATCTCTTTCATGAACTTTTCAAATTTGTCATCAACTGATTTTCCTCCCCATGGCCCCCCACTGGCCGGCCTCACTTCATCCAATACCCCCTCTCCAGACCTGAGATGTACTGTGATATCAGCTGTGCCACCTTAATAAAGAAAATGTTACTATCAGTTCAAATAACAAGAGGTCCAAGGGCCTTAAAGGTCACCTGAGTATAATACAACCCTGAGCAGAGAAGATTTCCAAAGAATTGATGCATTTTCACCACATAATCCATAGAGTCCCGCCCCTAACACCATAACATCTAACCCATGGGCCAGGAATTTCACAATTTTGAAAGAATCACCCTTGCTCATTATAACCATGCAGCTAATTTGCATAATGATTATATATAGGGGGAGAGAATAAGCTTTTTAAAGAACTTGTGCTTTTTTCACTATATGATCAATACAGCCCACCCTAACTCCAGAACTCCTGACCCTTGTGCCATTAATTTCAAAATTTTGGTACAGGGCTCAGTGCTTATTACAACCGTGCCGACAGTTAACTGCATGATGTCCACGAGTAAAGAAGAAGATTTAAAGATTGTAATTATTTTAATGGTTTTTGCCCCATCCCTTAGGGAGTGGAACCATGAAATTTATATTTTTGTTCCCCTTCACCCATACATGCAGATGTTATATGCCAACTTGCTTGATACTGATTCAGTGGTTCCAGAGAAGAAGTGAAAATTTTCATAAGTTCATGGAAGCCTGACGACACACGTTGCATGACGACAGATGAAAATAGATTGCCATACGTTACCTGTGTGACTCAGGTGACCTAATAAAATCATGAATTTCACTTTTATTTGTACTCATTATAATCATGTAAACACTTTGCCTGAACCCCCCAGGACAAAAAATATGAACTTCACAATTTTGGTAAAAGGCTCATTGCCTATTAAAATCATTCCAACAGTTTGACTACTTGTTGCCCTGGAGTAAAGAATAAAATTTTTCTGAGATTCAATGAATTTTCAGTATATACATGTATCTGGTATATGACCAAATTAGCCCCACCCTGAGGCTTGAATTTAAGTCTTCATAGGTTTGTCGAAAAAGGTCAATAGCTTTGTCATGTTCGAAGGGGGGAACTGAAATAATTCTTGAAACAAAATTTCCTTACCTCCAAGATCCACAATCATATACTTGGTTCCTTGTTTGGCTGTTCTTAGGAATGAGCTGGTGCCTACCACGCCCACCTCTGTTGGTATGTGTTGGCAGTAGATGGAAGCTGCTTCAGGCTCAAGGGCTATTAACAACTGGTTGGCATTGATTCCAGCCTGAAAAGATTACAAAGTACAACTTTTTATTGCAATGCTCTCTGTGCTGTATCATTTACAGTATACCAATGGAGGCTTAGTGTCCACACTACAAACTGTGGTGATTTTTTCTATTAAATGTTGGTATATTTTTTGTATAAAATTTCGTTACTCTCAAATTGTTGCCCAAACCTTACCCCAGGAGCCAAAATGTAGAGCACATATAATTGCTACACTGTTGTTATTTAGAAGCATCTTGTTTTTCTGTATATCAAAGTCAAAATTTTTCTACCCCTTTCCTAACCCCTAGACTCATACAGTCAAACCTCGTTATCTTGAACTCAATGGAGTTCAAGAAAAACTTCGAGATATCTGAGGGTTCGAGAAATTGAGGGTAAAATACTTGAAGAATTAGCGATTGGGATTTCCAAATCATCTCGACATATTCATGGTATTCAAGATATCAGTGTTAGAGATACCAAAGTTCAACTGTATTTCAACAAAACTGATTCTACACAGCTTTGAGATGCTTGTTTATATACAGTAAAACTAACTATTATCTGCAATACTGTGGAATCACTAATTTTCATGGGGTTGAATTTTCTTTGATTTTAAGGTATGAAGAGACCCACGAATTTGTGTCCACCACCAAATGCAAAATGTCTCATACATAACTACTCAACAATTTTTCATCCACAAAATCAAATCCCCACAAGCTCACAGTTTTTCCTCAAACCACGAAAATTTACCCCCCACCCCCCCCACCCCCCTTAAAATATGTGATTTTTCAGTGGCTATTGCTTGTAGCTAATCCAGACCTGTCTATCCCATACAATTGTTATCCATAGTTAATATGCAGAAGATATTCCACTTTCAACACAGAATTTATCATTGAATTCACATAAAACAGATATGTACCATTGTACTCTGATGACATACCTTAATATGATACTCAACATACACATAACAACTGAGCAAGGAGTAGAGGTGCCAAATTATTTCAATAACTACCCTGTCTGTAAATTTCAGTCTTGGCATTTGTGTGAATGTATGACCATTGGACAGCTACTCATAATTTAGATGCTTGAGAATCATATGTAGATTTTCTAATATTACTCAAACATTTGTACTGCTTTGTTATTCTTAGCAATCATTTTAAACTGACAATGTTGGAAATTCCCAAATCTCAAGATTTGGCATTTGAATCATAGAACATAATTTGGGGTCAAAATTTATAAAAATTACAGGAAAAATCAGGAGAGTGGGCTGGTCTGCTCATCAGTTTAAAATTCATCTGTGACTACAATAAATTTTCACCACTGGAAAACATTCCACAAATAGACAATATTGTACATGTATAATTGTTTTATGGTGAGAAATATTAGCGAGTATCATAAAAAGGTTGTAATAAATCTTTCTTGCACATGGGTAAGAGTTGGTTTACAGTATTAATTATAACCTGAGCTGAATTCAAAAATAAGTTTTTAACCCAATATATGAACCTCTTTTGTGGCCTCTCCCTAACCTACATTTTAACACATACTTCAAGATATTCACTTAATGTCGACCAACTTTTTTTGACTGTGCAAGAACTTCTTTTCATTGTCAATATTTTTCACCGGAACCATGTAGCTAATCGTGTATTTATGAAGAATGTTTAGTATTTCATGTAAATTTAGATTCATGATGGATTTTAGTATGAAAAATTACATCACTTGAGTTTTTTGCTTGGGTGAACTAAACATAAAAGAGAATTCAGTCTATCACCAGTGATATATTGCTTCGTATCATTTCACCATCCTAATATCAATTTTTAAAATTCAGTCTTGAGATCACTTCAATGATATTACTTTTTCAAACTGATTTCTGCTTTTACAGTAGTTGTAAATAAATACTGTCAAAGTTTACACATACAGCAGTTGCTGCTTCCCTCATGAACTGTTTGGAGGGGTCATCCCAGATAGCCGGTACTGTAAGTACAAACTGGACATCATCTAGGACTATGTCTGGGTAAGCTTTCTTCAGTTCCTCAAACAAATGGTCTACAATGTACTTTATGGACTTAGTGAAAACTATGTGTGCCTCCATCCTCTTTCTTGTCATATCATCTATGCAGATGTTCCGATGCAGATTCTGAAATCATAGTATCACTTTTATTGTGTGAAATTTTCAATGCTCTGTTTCAGTCAGCCCTTTGTTTAGTCTATTATCACTTGCATATTCAGTAAGTGATACGAAATAAAAACCTTCTAAAATTATTAAAATAGTCAAATTGGAGCTGAACATACAATAAAAAAATATTATTGTAAATATTTCTACTGAAAAATTTGTATATTTGTATATTAAAGACTAAAAAAAATACACCCTTAAAAATTATCAGAAATCACTGTAATGATAAAATATTTCTACTTTCGTTTTCGTGGTTAGCTATGTATGCACCTTGCAGTTATGCAGAAGCATTTTGAAACGATGAAAATAATAGTAATTTTTGTATTCATCTTCATCTTCCTCGGCCAAATCAGCATAGCTCTTCTCTGCCTCATATCCAAAAGAGTTAAATGTTTTGTCCGGATTCAGCAACAGGGCAGTTGGAGTTTTCGATGACATCTGGTTCGATGATGGCCATATATTGGTTTTCACTTTGGTCCATTCATGTTTTGCAGAGAATGCATAACCAGAATATGTGGTGCCAAAATCGATGGCAGCCACGAAAAGCCTCGTACAGCAGGACTGTTTTGGAGTGTTGGCAGCGGCCATTTTTATCAGCTGTAAAGAGATACATACGTAAAGATCAATGTTTTGTTTACACTTCCTTAAAGTTAGTATTTTGATAATTATTTCGCCTCCAAGTAAAAAAAATGTGGCACCATTGAAAATCCCCCTGTTTATCACTCGAATAAATTACAAAAGCTAAAAAATACATGCATATACAGTATACTAGCAGAAAATATACCTACCTGTTTATAATTTGTACATGTAAAGTGAAATTTATCAAACCAGTCCGAACTTGATGATAGAGTTATCTACCGTGCAGGAACTTGGTATTTGGGGCACCAATGGGGAGAATTCTAAAATTTTTATCTTAGGAACCCGTTGTCCGAAATATCTGACGTTTTCCTAGCTTTTTTCACGATTTTGATATTTTACATGCCAGGAAAACGTCAGAACCGGCGCCATTAAGAAAACTGGAAATTTCGCCGTCTCCAACCGGAGTTGATTTCGATACTTGCAAACCGAATTAAATGCCGGACTCATAATTTATCAATAGTACAATGCTTCCAGTACTCATCAATATCGATGAAAAGAAAACATCAATCCACATTTCGAATACAGGACTTGAAAGATTTTAAAATGCACGAAATGAAAAAAAAATCTCGACAGATAAAATGTTTTCATCGGTCTGTATATTTTATAAACGAACCATAAAAACGATGTTGGTGAGTATTAAAAGTACTGTACAATTGATAACTTTTGAGATTGAAATTCAATTCGGTTCGGAAGTATCGAAAATCAGCCCGAGAATGCCGCCTCCGGTTGGAGGCGGCGAATTCCCAGTTTTCCTAATGGCGCCGGTTCTGACGTTTTCCTGGCACGTAAAATATCAAAATCGTGAAAAAGCCTGGAAAACGTCAGATATTTCGGACTAAGGAACCCGTTTCTTAATTTATCGATATTTCTTGAAAATCTTGTATGTAATGGTGACTTACTGCTATAACATAATGGTATGTTTAATCAATTTATTGCAGATTCTTTTTTTAAATGAAAGGAGAGAATTAATTAATGGATGGATCTGGACCCAGGTCGATATCCCCGTCTATAATTAAAGTACTAACCACTACATTCCCCCCTTCAACAGTGTTCAATTACAGCCCAGATTCTTTTGCTCCTGGTAGAACTTTACCTGCAAAATCACGAGCTAGGTCAGCTAGCTAGGGCACCAAATGTAACAGGAAAGGAGAAAATCCATGCGGACTGGTAATCGGACGTACCCCGGGACACCTGCATTACCTGATTACTATCAGGTGCTCTTACCACCGAGCCACCAAGGCCGGTATCCCCGCGGTCCAAACGACCAAATCCACTAAATACACTCCAAATCCTGGTCACGGCACCAAATGTGATAGGAATTGGATATGGATCGAACGCCAAATTAACATATATTCAAATATTTGAACCTATCTTCAATTAATTGTACCTATCTTCAAATCAATTGTACCTATCTTCAAATCTAAATGAATTAAAGTTTTAATTCAATTATACCTTTTTTTAATTCATTTGAAGATAGGTACAAAGGATTTGAAGATAGGTACAATTGATTTGAAGATAGGTACAAATGCCATGAATTATATAGATAGGTATAATTGATTGAAAGATAGGTGCAATTGAATTGAACCTATCTTTAATTATAAAGACACTGACAATAACAACTACTCCCCATAAAATTGCTTTTTTCGGTTCCCTCCATATTCAAGTCGCTCTTTAAGGAAGCTTTCATTATTTTCTATTAATAACAAAACGTACCTATCTTCCAATCCTTTCTTGTGCCTATCTTTATATGAATATTAAAGCTAGGTATAATTCAATTGAACCTATCTTTAATTGAATTAAGGATAGGTATAATTCCATTAAAGATAGGTATAATTTATTTGAACCTAGGTTTGATTATTTTAAGATAGGTATAATTATTTACACCTATCTTTAATACATTTAGACCTATCTTTAATTCAATATTGCACCTATCTTCAATTCATTTGGAGATAGGTTCAAATATTTGAAGATAAGTACAATTATTTAAAGATAGGTTCAAATATTTGAATATATGTTAATTTGTGTTCCATAATTGAAAGGAATAGATTTATGGCAGCCCGCGGGAATCAAACCTGAGACCAATGCTCTAACATGTAACGTACAGGCCGAATGCGATATCCACGATCCATTATCATACAGCCCAAACCATTACAAAGAAACTTGCCACATCTATTCATCAGTTCATACCCATTCACAAAACAACACTCCATTCCTGCATATATGTGGTTGAAATACCACTTCAGGTGAGACAAATTTTCCAATCGGCGAGCAGGGTTTTGATGCTGTTTACGGAGATAAAAGAAAACTAGATATCATTGAGATGGTGGCCATCTCAAAGGGCCCCGCTTTCAGCAACGAACATGAAAATGTAAGGTAGCTGAAAAGGGTTTATTTTGAAGAGGAACACTTGTATACTATTAAGGGATGTGTTGTTTGAGTCTAAAGGGCTTCTATGTCATCCTTGTTACAATAAAAAATGGCACGAAAATCACGAGTGCTCCATACCCTCTATCGAAAAGCGGCCCAAAAATCACAAATGTTGCATATCCTCTCTGAAAACTGTTGCAAATATATCAAAATATGGAAGGAAAATCAGAAATGTTCTGTACCCTAAGCCAATTGGTAAAGTTTGAGGCTGACTGGACTTAAAAGAAAGAAACCATGCATGGAACAAAGATTTTAAACAGAGAAGCTATTTTTGACCTTGACCCTTGACCTAGAAACTTCGTTCAAGGTCACTGCACATCCATTGACCAGTGCCACTCTGAGGCCAACTTTTTTTTATATTCTGTTTTACGGGAGCGCCGACCCTAATTTGGGCTAAAATGAAATAAAAATAAAAGTCCCCAATTCAAGTTTTATTTTTATTTCTCCCGCCGATAGTTTATTTATAGTCTCTGAAAAAATAAAAGAAATATAAATAACCTTTTTACAAGCCTTTCAAAATGCGATTTGTCATTGGCTGAGGTAAATAGATTCATCCAATCACAGTATTCGTTGCGTGAAGAGTCACTGCACAGCATAGCGCCAAAATGTCAGAATCGTCGGGTTTCACGTGTTTTTAGTCGGTTTGATAAGTGGCGTGTCAATGTTATATATTAGAAAAAGTATAAATTTTAATGAAAGATTGAATGAAATAGACGAATCAGTGATCTTGATCAAATGTCATGCGGAGGGCCACGTGGAAATCGAGGTTCTGTCAACCGCTTGTTTTGAAAGGTTGTGAGTACGTATTATCTTTGACAATTGCTTCAATACATTGAAATACGTCTTGAAGATTTTTATGCCCCGCCATGAATATGGCCGGGGCATATAGTGTTTGTCATGTCCGTCTTCCGTCCTTCCGTCCTTCTGTCCTTCCGTCTGTCCTTCCGTCACACTTTGCGTTTAGCTCTGTTCAAAGCTCAGTTTCAAAGAAATTATCCAAGATATTTTTATCAAACTTCATATGCTGATAGATATTGATGAGGGCTATGCAACTGCATCAACATTTTTTGACCTTGACCTTTCCTTTGACCTTGACCTCACTTTTCTTAAATTAGTGTTTAGCTCAGTTTTAAAGATACCATTCAAGATAGTGTAATGAAACTTCATATGTTGATACCTACTGACGTAAGCTATTCAACTGCATCAACATTTTTTGACCTTGACCTTTCTTTTGACCTTGACCTCACTTTTCTTAAATTAGTGTTTAGCTCAGTTTTAAAGATACCATTCAAGAAAGTGTAATCAAACTTCATATGTTGATACATACTGATGTAAGCTATTCAACTGCATCAACATTTTTTGACCTTGACCTTACTTTTGACCTTGACCTCACTTTTCTTAAATTGGTGTTTAGCTCAGTTTTAAAGATACCATTCAAGATAGTGTAATCAAACTTCATATGTTGATACATACTGATGTATGCTATTCAATTGCATCAACATTTTTTTGACCTTGACCTTTCTTTTGACCTTGACCTCACTTTCCTTAAATTAGTGTTAAGCTCAGTTTTAATGAAACCATTCAAGATATTTTTAACAAACTTCATATCCTGATACATTCTGATGTAACCTTTTCAACTGCATCAACATTTTTTGACCTTGACCTTTCCTCTGACCTTGACCTCACTTTTCTTAAATTAGTGTCAAACTTCATATGCTGATACATACCGATGAGAGCTATTCAACTGCATCAATGTTTTTTGACCTTTACCTTTCCTTTGACCTTGACCTCACTTTTCTCAATTTGTGTTAAAATGTTGCATTACTAATATACCCTCGGCGGGGCATTCATGTCCTATGGACATATTTCTAGTTTTAAACTTAATTTTAAGACAGAAATGTTTTCTTTTACAGGTAACGACAGAACACTAGAACTATGTAGAACTGGTAGAAAGTGGCGTGACTGAGGAAATTCGAGTCACAACTTTCACTCGTTTTATGACAAATATTGGAATTCAGAATTACCTACGAAGATATATCAGTATATATGCTTGATTGATACAAGACATTATCTCCTTTTTTATCGCTTTATGGAATTTTGCGTGCTATGTAACAAATTAATGTATATTGATTAATCAGCGTATTCATATCAGCTGATGTAGTGTATATATGTGTAGCTCTTGTTTAGTAAATCAACTTTTTTTACCACCAGGGACCTATATACTATATATTAGTATATAGGTCCCTGTTACCACTAGGGAAAAGTATTGTTGTAAATGATACGCCCTTACAAATATTATTTCAATGCAGGTCTCGAATTCAACAGTTGTGGATTAGAACCATTTTCAACAATTAAATTTTTAAATTCTGCAGTAAACAGAATATTGTCATGTGTATTTTATATGTGTATACTATGGGAAAGATGTGTATTTTCTATATTGAAAGTTAGCATGCTCAGAAAGAAAACATAAGGATAAAAAGATATATATACTACAGATTGAGGAAGTTTGAATATGTTTTCAATAGAGATATTGTAGTACGTTTTTTCCACCTACGTATATATTAATTGGAAGTGCGCTGAAAAAAAAATATTATACAACTTTTCTTTTTTTCATGTCTCATGTGCACTTCTGTGAATTAATTTATTTTAGCTGATCCATTGAATGTCTCACTGTATTTTCTCCATAACTTTGCCAGAACTAGTCCAAAATCCTCAGATCTTGTAATTTGCTGAATACTCCAGTACCGAAAAATAAAAGATTCTGAAAAGTTTATGAGGGGTGTGACAGAAGTCCTATAGGTTTACTGTGGTGACAATATGATATTTGACAACTGAGAGAAGATTATAGATTTGTATGTTTGATTTGCATTAATGTTAGAAACTGCAAGCTTTATACTAGAAATGCACCCCTGCCCCAAATATCTAAGAGAAAGTTAAACTTTAAATAGTTCATTGATCCATTAACAGTACCAATTCTGTGTTTTGTGTACATAAGTTTTTCAAATAGCACTGTTTTTCTAACAAATTAAGGTCATACAAATAAAATTCCAACCTTAATTAAAAATAAAAAAATTTATTGCATTTTTTCATTTTATTTTTATTTTTCTGACCGACTGCTTAAATTTCGAGCTTTTATTTTTATTTCGACCCCCCGACTCAAATTTTTGAAAAAAATTCCCGTAAAACAGAAAATAAAAAAATGTTGGCCTGAGAGTGAAGTATGAGCCACATTGGACTAAAAGGAGAGAAGATATGCTCCGGACGAGGATTTTTCATATAATTCTGCTATGACCTTGACCTTAGACCTAGAAACATGGTTCAAGGTCACTGCACACCCTTTACCCGAACACACTCTGTGGATGAAGTATGAGCCAGATTGGGCCAAGGAGAGAGAAAATATGCTCCGGACAAGAATTTAAACAGAGAGGCTATTTTTGACCTTGACCCTTGACCTAGAAACTTCGTTCAAGGTCACTGCACATCCATTGACCAGTGGCACTCTGTGAGCGAAGTACGAGTCAAATTGGACTTAGAGAAGAGAAGATATGCTCCGGACAAGGATTTTTCATATAATTCTGCTATGACCTTGACCTTAGACCTAGAAACATGGTTCAAGGTCACTGCACACCCTTTACCCAAAGACACTCTGTGGGTGAAGTATGGGACAGATTGGGCCAAGGAGAGAGAAGATATGCTCTGGACAAGAGATCTCAGATGGACAGCCGGACGGACGGACAGACTGACTACTATAGGGCGCCCGCAGAGCGGGACCCTAATAAAGACAAGCATGCCATATATGTTTGTGTAGATAAATGATCGTAGAAGAGAACAGTTTAATTTCCAGTACACTTTCTCTGAAAGTGTATATGACTGTGCTTCTGATGAAATTCGGAGTTGATACCTTGTATTATGCTATGGGTTGAAATATTATTTAGAGAAACAAGACTTAGTGCATATGCCCAGGCCCCCCTGGACTGACTCTTTACAGGTACATGTACTTTACCAATTCGTCGCCTGAGAATTATGATGTCCTAACTGATCATGAATTTTGCAAAATTTTGGGAAATTGAAGTTTAAGTTCAGGGGTCGATTATCTTTTTACTCATAGCCTTTTGGACTTAGACATAAGGCATAAAAACTTAGAATATGCTAATCTACGGTAAAATAAACTTAATGTTCAGTGAATTTGAGTAGAAATATGAGGTAAAAAAAATTGACATTGAAAATGGAGATAGAATATTCTATCGAATATTTTTGTGCATTTTAGTTAAAATTAAAATGCTAATGGATATAGAACATTTATTACGCGTCCCGAAATTTGTAGTTTCAATAATTTCCAGATAAAATATTTTTTTTATTTTATTTCCATGTGAAATGCTATAAAAATATATAAGTCATGATATTATACCGAAAACTTGAGAAAATATTAACTTCAAATCTGTGTACAAGTACCTTTAAAGAAGTAATTTTAAAATGGATAATTTCTGTAAGTTCAACAACAACAACAAAAAAGTCACCTGAGACTCTTAGGAACGTTTTGCTGTTTCCATTGTTCCGTAACTTCCAAACATAAACTGTTAAACATTTTCAGTTTCTACTCCAGAACATCGTCGAAACCCACGGGTTTTCTCTCCGTTACACTACGTTGAAAATTGAATTCAGTGTAACGGAGAGAAAATTCATGGGTTCCGACGATGACTCCAAAACAGCCATACCAATTTCAACAAATTTTGGTGTATTAGTATATCATTAATGAATAAAAAATAATTTGCATGTATGTATACTGAATCATATTTTTATATAATTGCGAATTTTCATGGGCTCTGACATCCTTGGGTCCGATGGGAATGGATGAAGGAGAAGGTTTTTAAAGAATCTTCAAAACCTTTCTTCTTTCCCAATTGACATCTACCAAGCAAATGTTTGCTTACTGTAATTATAATTCGTACTCAGTCCTTTATCAGAACTCTGGAAACCAAGTCACATAGGTCCATGTTTTCAGGCCTTATGGTTGTCAATTGGTCATATTTTGAAAATATTTTACATGATGAGCATCAACAGGCAACTTTTTACATGATTTTCAATATGATAAACACTTGGCCCTAAAGAATATATTACCCCCCTGGTTCAGAACCCAGGGTGGGACTAAATTGGTTGTAAATTGAAAATGCATTGCACATCACATTGAAAAATCTTCTTTACCTATGTACATGTACAAGACAAATGTTGCACATGTAAATCTTAACCAAAACTGTAAAATTCATGGCTCATGGTCCCAGCATTTGGACCAAGTCTGTGGCCATTTGTCATTAAAATAAGTAATAAACTCCTTTCCTAAAATTTTAAAATCAATGTCATCTGTATCCAGCTCGCAGGCCCCAGGGTGGCTATGTTGGTCACGTATTGAAATTTATTATAGTGTGCCTGGATTTGATTTTCTAAGAGGAAAGCTATATACATGTGATTATAAAAGCCTCTCAAAACTATTTTTGAGAGACCAGAGGTCCATTTTTTTTTATACTAAAATGGTAATAGCTTTAGAAACTCATGATACGCAGGTGACCGTCATCCCATGCTTCAGCAACCTTTTTATAAAATCCTCGCACTAAATTAAGAAATACACTTCTTTGTTTATTATAATATTATTAAACTGTTAGAGTAAATGTGATTAAGTTTAATTACTTTCACAGTGAACCCCCTCCCCCCCCCCCCCCTTTCAAGTTTTTCATTGATCAGATCATGTGACCAAAGGTTAGCATTATGATTGGACATTATGAAGATAGAACACTCTAATATTTATAAATTCACAACAAGTGGAGATAGAAAAACCAATTACTCTTAATATCTTCTTTATTTTTGTCCATTTCATAGGTAGATAGATCTCAGCGAGCCGATTCCAACGATATGCATAACTCATTTTTGACCATTTTGGCACTTAGAACATTTTAAATTCTTAGGCGACGAATTGTTGTAAAGTACATCATGGCACGGTGTTCAAATTTTTAATTATTTAAGTGGTAACAGTACACTATATCTATAGATACAATGTACTACAGACAGTAGAGTTGAACTAGAATTATTTCCCTTTATGCGTGAGCTGTGGCACACGCAAGGCGCCAAGGCAATGTATTGTCCTTCTGACATATTTAATATTACCAAATAAAGACAGCTTGGAAGGGATCTAACCAGTGCACTCGGTGACACTTTCCAAGTGGAGAGACCGGACTTGATGACGTGTTTGTAAAAGAACCAATATAGTCATTCGGCAAACCTCGGCTGATTCCGTCACCTTCATCAAACGTTAGATGAGGTACGAATCGGCCGAGGTGTGCCGAGTGCCAATGTAGTCAGTCTTCGAAGCCAAATATATCGAACAGTCCCCCTTAATTTATTTAGTGTGATACAATGATGATGCATTTAGCTATGGAAATTTCCTGTATATTGCGTCTTTTGGGAAAGAGGTTGGTTCCAAAAATTGACAAAATTAGACACTCACAAGATTCATTTTTCAATCATCAGGAACATACATGTATCTGATTTTATTATAAGTTTCAGTTATTAAACATGTTAATTGACTTTTAATATGTGTACTTGTAAAAGGAAACAGAAAATTCTCAAAGACATTACATCGATATTTAGACTTTTGCACCTGTCAAAAGTGGAAATAAAAAGTATATGTTTCCATTAAATGTAACATTTTTTTTCTACGTGAAAATTCTATTTTATAACCTCTCTCCCCACTGTATAACTGTTAAACTATCCAAACCGACAATTCACTCTTTGTTAAAATTTTTAATTTCTCAGACACGAGTTGCAAATAAAATGCTTATAGTTTCTTCAAAAAATAAACATGTTGTACATATTTTTTTTTCCACTTTCAAGTTTAAGATAAGCATGTGAAACGAAGTATCAAAATAAATCGTTTCGTTGAGTCATCGAGCAAGGGGCGTAATAGATAACTTTTCTAAAGGTGTAACATATTTTATACAGGTAAATAATAAAGAACTACTTTCGGTTTAGTATCTAATTACTTACACTTTGGTATGCTGTCTAGGTAATGGGTAACAAACCCATAAAACAGCGATGGACAGAAACCAAAAAGAGGTCAGTATATTTATCGGATTGTGTAGGCATTAATAAAAACCTTCCACAGCAATTATCTTACATCTGATATGCATACACGTCCTAATTCATTTTTTGTAAAGGTGTGTTATTTTTTTTCCATAGACTTAATGTCAGGCGTCCCCGATCAACCCAATCTACTTATTATGAAAATACACCTGTAAATTCGAAACCAGATGATGACGGGGAGTATGCCAATTTGGCAACTGGGGGTACCTACGAGGAAATTCAACACTTAAGAATCAGGCACGAGTTATTTGTAGTTGCTCTAGATATCGGAACTTCGTCTTCCGGGTACGCGATCTCTGTTTACGACGAATACAAGAGGGACCCTCTACAAATCAGTACCTTCAGCTGGAGGTCCAGAACGGATGGATTCCAGCATTTCAAGACACTGTCTGCTGTTCTGTTGAACCCGAAAGGAGAGCTTCATAGCATTGGTTACGATGCTGAATATCATTATATTAATTCCTTGTCAGAGGACGAACGTCAGGAATGGTTTTACTTCCAACACTTCAAAATGAGGCTCTATGATCAAAAGGTATTGTACGTGTAACATACGTTCCAAGGTTTCTGTAAAAGGATCTGAAGTTCACCAATCTTGAAACGTTTAAATGTCCATCTACATCAGGGTTAGTGGACTCAGGACCCCTTAGCTTCTAAATGTCTTGCATTACTCATTTTCATTATCAAATTAGGATGACTTTGTGCAATTTTATTAGGGTGTTCAACAAAATTAATTCTAAAAATATAAGATATAACCCATGTAGATGATACAATACATAAAAGGATAGATGTATGTGATGTGCGGCTCTAATATGATTGAAAAGAATTAAGTAGAGTGGAGACAGAAAATAATTTACTTGATATGTATGAAAATGTTTGTTAATAAAAAGTATTTACATTTCTGTGGCCCAAAATCATAGTTCTAAAAATGTACAAAGGATGAAAATCAAATAAATGTCTCCGTCTACTGGTCCGTCAAAGTGTCCCTTATAAAGATTTTCAGTTCTGTAGTATGAGGATAACATTCGAGTATATTATACTTTTATGTAAATTATTTAAATATGATTCCCCGAGAAACATTAATTTTGTTAAAAAAAAAAACACCATTACCCTCTGAATGATGAAACGACACCCTCCAGCCCAGCAACAGTAAACATTGCTTGACAACGGCTGATATTCCAAAAAATGTTGACTGCGCAGAATTTATGCGCTCACAGTTCAGTTATGTGTATTTGTATAAAACATTCAGTATAATGTAATAAATATTGAATATAGTTGAGTGAAACATTAAAAATTTTCACCTCAAGGAAACCATTTTCAACAATGGTTTTCTTGCATGGGGGGTGAAAATGTTGTTGCCCTCAGCTACATGCAATATTTATATATAATATATGTAGTTCTGACATAGTGTTGAGTCCAGATAAACTATATGGGGCTATGGGCTAGTGAACCCACAGCATTCTTCAACTTTATGCAAATGTTATCTCGTATTAATAAATTGAAAGTAGTTTTGAATTACCAATTGAACTTTTTTTTGTAGATTTCCAGAAATCTTGTTCTACACGATGTGAAAGGAAAGCCTCAAAAAGCGTTGAAAATATTTTCCTCGATCATTAAAGGCTTAAAGGACGATTTTACAACCCGATTGAAGGAAAGAATAAGTAATTTTGGAGCAGACTCTGTTAATGAAGACATCCATTGGGTGATCACTGTTCCTGCAATTTGGGATGAAAAAGCCAAACAATTTATGAGAGTTGCGGCACAAGAGGTTAGTCATATGAAGCAATCATCAATATCCAGATTAAAATAATGCATAGCTTGTTAATTTTGATTAATGTTGAAAAAAAAATATGAAAAAATATATGGAATGTTTTCAGACTGGAATTTTAAACAATAAACTGTCAATTGCATTGGAACCGGAAGCGGCAGCTCTCTATTGCCGTTATCTTCCGGTTGAGAGACTCACCAGATCTGAGGACTGTGACGGAAAAGCCAAACTGAAGACATTCTCACCTGGTGCAAAGTATCTTATTGTTGACCTAGGGGGTATGTTATGTGGTTGACTGATTTGAAATTTCAATGAAATTGAAAATTAAGTACAATTTTTTCCTTGTCATAACTATATAGACTTTATTACTTCAAAGAGTGTAATCTTCATCTTTTTGTGCTAGGTGGAACGGTGGACATTACCGCACACGAGATTTTACCTAATGGGGCTTTACAGGAAGTCATGGCGGCGGCTGGTGGAAACTGGGGGTCCTTGGCAATCAATGAAGAATTCGTGAATTTTTTAGAGAATCTAACTGTTCCCGGGATTATGGAGATTATCAGGCGAACCCATCCCGATGATTTCCTCTCATTCATGTCTGCTTTTGAGAACAAGAAGAGGGTTTTCTCAAAAGATGATGAACGGGTAATTCTTCAGGTTCCACAATCCATTCGCGATATAATGAGTGAAAAACTTGGTAAATCGCCTGAAAGTCATATTGAAGAAATTAATAAAACAAAGGAAGTGAAATTTCAGCGTGATAAAATGTATATTTTCAACGAAACTTTTACCCATTTACTGAAAGGAACAATTGAGAAAATCATTTTACATGTGGTTGCAATATTAGAGTCTCACCATCTCCATGTGGATAGTATAGTTCTAGTTGGTGGGTTTGCAGAAAGCGATCTTTTGAAATCGACGTTTAGAACGTCATTTCCGGATACTAGAATAATAGTACCAGAAGACCCTGTTCTTGCAGTGCTGAAAGGAGCAGTTTTATTTGGAAGAAATCCCCAAGTTCTGCAGGCGCGTGTTTGCCGTTACACATACGGTATTTGCACAACAGTTGATTTTGACGAAAAACGTTTTCCTCCAGACAAAAAGATCGTTTTAGGGCAGAGAGTGCTTGCAAAAGACGTTTTTAACATTCATATTCGAGCAAATGAGACTGTTCGTGTTGGACAGCGGGGTACTCCAAAGAAGTACTTCTTAAACAGAGACGACCAAGACCAGTTAGATCTTGAAATTTTCGCCACGAAGAATAGTAATCCTAAGTTTGTTACAGATGAAGGGGTTGTTTCTTTGGGTATGTTAGTCATCATGGTTCCGAAGTCTCAATCACAGTGCAACGACAAAAGACATTTTCTCGTGAGTTTCCTTCTGGATGGCACAGAAATGGAGGTTGAGGCTGTTGATTCTGGGACAAATACAACAACTGCGGTTAAGTTTGATTTCATTGGTTGAAAATTGTTACCTGTGTATTAGATATTATATGTCCATACGTTAGAGTCACACAATACTCCTGTTCATTGCTTTTACAAATAAAGTGTCAAAATTCATAGCTTGATATTTTTTATTATAAATTTTAAATATTTTTTTTTTGTAGCATGAATTTTCAGGATTGATTTCGTTGCGAACTGTGCGATCAGCTGGTAAAAATTCTCTCTTTAATCAAAACACGGAGATTTTAAAGTTCTCTAATAATCAATTATAATGAAAAATCTATAATGAAAATATTTAATCTCCTCGGAAATTCCACAGGTACTTTGGTTTTGTTTTACAATTATGATACTAGTATGTAAAAAGAGTCCTCGTTTTATCTATTAATAGGCATGGCCGTAGGAACGGGGGGGGGGTGCCCCCCTCCCCAATAATTTTGCCGTTATAAAGAATACTATAGTAAACATAGCTACTATATGTTTATGCCCCCTCAATAATAACGTCTGATGATCTTTTTTTTTTCTTGTCAAGGAAAGTCTCCCCTCCAACTGAAAATGTATGGTTGTGCCCCCTCAAAGTGAAATTGCTGAATTCCTACGGGCCTGATAGGTATATTTATATTCATGTACTTGTGGGAAATTCAGGCCGTCTCTTTGAGCTTTAGTTTCCATATTCATATTTTTCTATATTATTTAGGAAGTTACCGACAACTGTTCACAGGCTATTCTCTTTAGAGAAGTGGACAGGCTTTCGCCTACATCCACTTCTCTTCGCAAGCCTTCATGTTTTGAGTCTGGAAAACGTGTAAATCTCGAACCGGTGACGGTCTACACTTCAACTGATATTTCGTCTAAAAGACGTCCGAATGTACGTAATAGACGTGTTGTCTTAACAATTTTAACATAAATACACACAACTGTCACAAGAAAACTGACCTTTAAGTTCTGTTAATCCATTTTCACAAGTTCTCCATCCCGGATTTAAACTAATGTTTATCTACCACAGCTTATTAGAAAAAATTGAAAATTTTAAGTCGGATAATTTGGAAAATTGGCGAAGACGTATTTTAATGTTCAAAAAAAGTTTTGGACAATTCACTTTTGATTTAGCATATTATTCAAAATTAATATTATTACCTTTACTTATTTTTACTATTTTAGTACAATTTAAATGTAAATTTGAGCTTAAAAATTACTTCATTACTTCCTCACTGACAATACTAAAAAATATTTTCTTTTATTTTTAAACGATATTAACTCTACCTTTCCCGAGAAATGAAAAAAGATTTAAAACAAAGATCAAAAGAATTTGAACGAAACTTGAGGAAATACTGTCTCGTTAGTTTAAACAGAGTAGACGATTTCTCTCGTTTCATTATTATTTTGTAAAAATAGTTTCCATTTTTATCCGAATTAGAGATTTTTGAATACTTCAAGAGTTACTTGCACATAATTTAAATCCGGGATGGAGAACTTGTGAAAATGGATTAACAATACTTAAAGGTCAGTTTTCTTGTGACAATTGTGTGTATTTATGTTAAAATTGATAATATAACACGTCTATTACGTACATTCAGACGTATTTTAGACGAAATGTCAGTTGAAGTGTAGACCGTCACCGGTTCGAGATTTACACGTTTTCCAGACTCAAAACATGAAGGCTTGCGAAGAGAAGTGGATGTAGGCGAAAGCCTGTCCACTTCTCTAAAGAGAATATTCACAGGCATGCACCCTTCTTTATTCCCGCAAATAAAATAAAAGTTGCGGAATTGTTGCCGGCCAATCCGTCACATGCTTTGTCAATGATGGAAATAATGAAGGTCAAATTCATTTGAACGAGATGATTAAAAAAATATTATAATGAAAGGAACAAAAGAATACAGGGAATGAGGGAGTGTCGTGAACGTGGCAAACTAAAACGTGTACGCTAGAATGCGGGAACTTATTCGGACCCTGACGCTTGTCATATAGATTTTATGCTGTGAACCAAGGTCATTTTGACAAATGTCATGTTAAAACAACGTAAGTTCTCCGAGCCCAACTCAATGCAATTAAAATATATAAGAGACTGACTTTGTTCAATGGAATAGGGTTTCCCGCGGTTTTGCACAGCTATGTGTGTAAATGTATATTTACCGACTGCAGGACAATCGTTCGAATTTTCCATTTGACTTCTGGACTTGAGTCTTGATAAAGAAAAAATAGGAAAAAGAAAAAAAAAATGCAGCCCTTTTTCATTTTGATGGTTTTCTTTATTTAGTGGATTCTAAATGTGGCCTTTTTAAGAGAGGAAAGTGGTACCGTAAATGGACAAATTCAAGACCCTTGTAACTTGAAAGAACACTGGGAAGAAAATTAATTTCTTGTGGTATTGGATCATTTATTATAGACGCTGAAGAAAGCATGCAAACTGGCAGTTATATACTGCTACTTGTGTAAACGGGGAGGGTGTATCTAATAAAAAAAAAGAACTGGATTGTTGAAAAATTAAAAACAGGGTATACCCTGGTAGTTGGTTATCTATTTGGAGTTGACCAATGAGGTAAAAGTGGTGGGGCTAATGAATATTTCACAAATATCACATGTGAATAATGAAGGTGTACAGCATTTTTCAATATAAGATAAATTTTGCGCCACCCAGGACCTGATCATCTTGATTCAAAATTTGGGTAGAAGTTACTGCTCAATATACTCATGCAAACAGTTTGCCTGCTAAATGGACAGAAAAAGTTGACTCAACTCACTATTCAGTTGAACCTAACAAATGGATAAATCATTTTAAATCTTTGCATACAACAGTTGATAAAAATTTTGAGAATAGATTTTAAAAATTAGACTCCTTACTATCAGAACAAATGGAATCGTACATCATCTTTAATAAGCTAGACAACAGAATAACTGTAAAAGAAATATAAAAAAGCCAAAGGACTAGATCTGATATCAAATGAAAGGCTGAAAAATGGGCATACAATAATATTACCCTGTATACTGAATATATTTAACCTATGCTTTTCTTATGGTTATTACCCAGAGACATGGGCAAAAGGATATATTACTCCTATATTTAAATCGAATGATCCCTGTGATCCAAATAATTACCGTGGAATAACTATAATAAGTAATCTTGGTAAACTCTTTAATAATATTTTAAATAAAAGACTGGATAACTTTTTAAGTGAGAACAATTTAATACACCCTTGCCAGGTTGGATTCACAAAACATGCCAGAACGTCAGATCATTGCGCTATTGTCAAATGTTTAATCGATAAATATTGTAACACAAAAGAAGGTAGACTTTATGCCTGTTTTGTAGATTTTCATAAGACATTTGACAGTGTTGTTCATAATGGTTTGAAAGTGAAACTACTACAATATAATGTTGGAAATAAATTTTATAATATTATTAATGATATGTACATGAAAAGTGAAGCATGTGTCAAGTATGGTAATCACCTTACTTCCTCATTCCCTATCAAATTAGGTGTACGTCAGGGAGATAACTTGAGCCCTACTTTATTTAAAATGTTTATAAATGATTTGCCATCATATTTGCAAAGTTGTATAGACTCTGTCTAGTTACACTCAAAAAATATAGATTGTTTAATGTAGGCAGATGATATAGTAATTTTTTTCATCATCACCACAAGGACTTCAGCAAAGATTAAACTCTTTAGAGAAATATTGTGATGACTGGGGTATGAAAGTAAGTTGTAATAAAACAAAAATTATTATTTTTGATAAAGTTGGGAGAACAAATAAACATAAATTTCATTACAAAAATTTCAATATTGAATGTGTATCAAGTTATAAATACTTAGGCATCCATTTTACAGCCTTGGGACTTTCTCAATGGCTAAACTTGAGTTATACAAAAAGGACTAAAAGCGTTCTTCAAACTACGAAAAGATTTCCCTAGCTTAAATCCTGGGATATCCACCAGTGTTACAACGCACTTTGAAAAATTACGCACTTTGAAAAAAAATTTCAAAGTGCGTTAATTTTGGGACCACGTTAACGCACTTTGAAAAAAAAAATATTTCTTTTCAAAGTGCGTTAATATCGACCACATTAACGCACTGTGAAAAAAAAATGTGCACGGCTTGGACAATATTCTTGCAAATTTTAGGTATGATAAATAATTATTTGAACCTGGTTGGATACTTTTCGGTGATGACATCAGGATCTGAGATATAGACGTTTTAAAGATTTTTAGGAGTTGTCTTGTTTCCAAAGGTTCTCGTAACTGTTATAAAAGGGAAATGGGTCTTAGAAATAATATAGGAATGATTTTTTATGGCAGCATTTCGTTTCTTTTTTCCTTTTCTTTTTTTAAATTTTATCCAGTCTCTAATAAGTTCGGTAGATGTAGGATAAGTGACTTCTTAGGGAAAAGAGAGCAATTATGATTTTTCGATACCATGAAAATTCTCTCTCTCTCTCTCTCATCTATTTTTCTATCATACTCATCTATCTATCTATTGTGAACATATATGAAAAATTGGTTGACTCATTTATTTGCTAGTAAGAAAATAAACCTTAGCCACATTACTCACTCGACTGAAATTTATACCCCGTTCACTAATAACTTTTTTCTCAAAATAGTTATGCAGTCAGATTACTTCTAAATCTGTAATTTGATATCATAGAAACGCTAGACATGTCAAATAGTTTTAATTACCATGTAAATGCCTTTTTTCTGAGGAATCGTTGTGGATACATTTTGAATAAAGGTTCTGCGGCTCTCTTCTTTAATATAAAAGGGTGCGTAATTTTTTTTTTTCAGGAAAGCTTATCTCAATTTTTTTCATCTATTTTACATTAACTCAAATTTATTGAGAGAAATAATATCAATATCATACCAGTTATGTAAATACATATATTTGTGTATGAAAGATAGAGAGTTGGGCTGAGGGATTTTCTACCTGTCTTCTCCTCGTTCTCGATGAGGGTAGATCAATTCATAAGTTTTTCGGAAGAAATACAACAAATTAATACTGTCTATTATTAAAATCTAAGTCCAGAATTTTTTTGTTTTATACGTATTTTTTCAAAGTGCGTTAAGTGTCTCCATGGTAAAAAAATGTTGATGTACACTCTTAACGCACTTTGAAAAAATTTTTCAAAGTGCATTGATTTTGTCCTAAATTTAATGCACTTTGAAAAATTTTTTCAAAGTGTGTTGATTTTGTCCCAATTTTAACGCACTTTGAAATTTTTTTCACAGTGCGTAATTTTTTCAAAGTGCGTTGCCACACACCAGTCTAAATGTCTTTGATCACATTATTAAACCTATATTACTTTATGGCTCAGAAATATGGGGAATATTTAATGTTAATAATTCAAAAATAAAGCAATCTGATGATGTATTGATGCAACTATGCTACAAAAACTTTATAGGTGAAAATTTACACATCAAATTCTGTAAAACTATATTAGGTTTAAATAGCAAAAGTATGAACCATGCTCTTTCAGAACTGGGTAGATATCATTTACATTATGATATTGTCAATAGATTACTTAAATACTGCTACAGACAAGAAACTTTAACATCAGATTTTCCTTTATTAAAAGATGCATTCATATGTAGTAAGGAACTTCCTCTCACCAAAAGAACAACTTGGTATTCCTCAATAGAAAAATTACTAAGAATTCTTGATATTCCAACATTATGTCATATACTAAGACTAAATTTGTAACTTCATTAAAACAATCCCAGATAAAAAAAAAAGAAATACTCTATGGATTGGCAGTACTTAAATGAAACACTAAAAGAGGGTAAACTTGTCACTTATTTGTTTTTGAAGAACAATTTTAGACTAGAAAAATATCTAATTTTATTAAAACCTGAATACAGAAAGCCAATTTGTAGATTACGTGTATCAGCACACAGACTCTTTATAGAATTAGGCAGATATAATAACACACCTAGAACAGAAAGAATATGTAAAAATTGTATGCTTAATCAAATTGAAGATGAAGAAAATTTCCTTATTCACTGTAGCAAATTCACAAAGGAAAGAGAAGACCTATTTAACTTAATCTCATCCAAAGTAAAACATTTTACAAAATTGCCTGATTAAAAAAAAAAAAAATTCTCGATTCTAAATTGTGAGGAATTAGATATATTGAATTCTCTTGGAAGATTTTTACAAAAAGCATTACCATAAGTCAAGTCTGAGGCATGTGAACTGTTTTATGATAAATTATGCAAAAAAAATATGTACTTTAATATGTGTATGATATAAATATGTAAATTTGCATATATATGATGTATGATATTATTTGTGCAGAATTTATGTACATGTATATGTATAAAAACTATCTGGTTTATTCCTTCTTTTTATGTCTTTCTCCTATCAATCATGCAACTCTTTCTCTCTTGTGTGTATGTATATTGTATTACATGTATATGACTATATATAAATGTTAATTTACAATGTACTTTCTTTTTGCCCCATGAGGGCCCTTAATTGGTAAATAAACTAAACTAATTGAATTGAATTGTCCGGAAGAATAAAAAAAAAGAAGTTTTAAGATTACATAAACTTTAGCCACACCTCTCAGCACACTGAGTCAAGAGAGCAGGAGTACTGTACGCTGAGTGACTCAAATGAAAAAAAGTCGACACAAACCACGCAGACAGAATAGACACTTTCACATGTATACCATGTCTTCTGGTCTAAAGTCAGTTGGGCCAATAAAGAAACCCATCTTCCAAAAACTACTTTGTCCATGAGCGAGGAGTTCTTATATAAAATCTACTTAGAAAGTCTCTTTGGCTCACTCCAGTCAATCCAGTACAGAATAATGACAGATCCATTTCAAATTCAGAGCATAAAAGCAAATAATTTTGAACGTATTTTAACCATCTAAAGTTTTGTTAGAGATTTATTTTCATTCCAGTGTAATAGAAATAGAATATCTTTTTCAATACCATGAAAAATAAATTCCGATATGCTCAATAAAATGAACATGTAGTACTACATATGTCAGTGAAAAAGACCAAAGTTCAGTAATCTAAAAATGAATACGGAAGTAACAAAGGCCGTTAAGTAGCTCCCCATATTTTTGATAGGATATTTGAATGCTTTCTAGGATAATTCACTTTTAACATCCAACTATATACATGTATAAATTTATGTCATTCTCCATTTGATACCATCTATTTCTCCTGAAAATAAAATCCTGCTTTTCTGTATTTGAACCCCTGGTTTATAAAATAACAAACAAGTCATTGTAAAAAGCACTTTTTATCAATATTAAAGTCTGATGGCATTTCAGTCATCTGAACACATATTTACTTGCTTTTACAACATTAATAAATACTTACATGGAATGATTCAAATTTGTACATACATAAATATCAATATGGTTCATTCTGAACTCAGCCTCTGGTAAGTTTCCAATTTTTAAAAAAAAGAATTGATGGTACATTTATATCTTTCCTACGAGAGAATACATTTGACACAATGTAATAAGCATCCAATTTTCTTTCGAAAGAAAAATAAATTCTTTTCAAATAAAGTTCTTAGCACTGTTTATTGTGTCAAATGTTTTATGTAAAAATCCTGAAGATTACTGTAGTATAAATGTATTAGTTCTTGATAGATGTCTTTATAAAGGTGGCATTCATTTTCCATTCTTTTAGTTTGAATGAAAGTGACCCTTCATGGCCAAATCATGCTATCATGACTTTAAAATCCCATATAAATCTAAAGTAATATTCATGATAGAAAATATTAATGTCTTGCTGAGGAACAGTACATCTATTGCTTTTAGAAATTCTAGTAAATGTTGATATCAATGACAAAATACAACTCAAACAAACATACAGGATAATCGATTAACACACAATATGGCATGAATGTATGGCAGTAGAACTAAGCAGTGCAAAAAGGATGAAGTGAAATAGCACAGTTACAACAATTAAGAAACTATTTACAGCTTATATGATGACAAAATGATCCTATATATATACTGGTAAATGACAAAATCTCTAAAATTGATGATAAAATATTCTTCATATGAGATGTCTAAATCCTGAGGGTTCCTCTTCATATCATAAAATGAATAAATACGAACCAACATTTAACTGCATGAATGACAGGATGTTCTGTACAAAGTTCACAATGTATCTTACAGAATAATGTGAAAAACAACCGATATATAACATAAATGTTGTTCATTGAGATCAAAATTGTATGGATTTCATTAATTCGACATCTCTCTAAAGCAGATAATTCCTGCCAATAGTTTTTAACCAATTACAGCTGTAAGTATTATTCAGCATGTCAATAAAATTTTGCGAAGACTATTCCTTTTATGTCAGTGATCTCCCTTTAATCTAAATCAATTTTATAAAGTTTACAAGATATGCAAAACAAAAATCACAGTGATGAGATAAAGCCCATTCTATCCTAAATATCTAGAACTATATATGTATCACAGAACAAATTACATCAAAATAACATTTTAAATCAATAAATATGTACATTGAAATCCAGCGATCCTTTTTTCAAATCACAATATTAAGTACCATTTTGAATACAGTGTCAAAGACTTCGGCAGAAATTTTACCTTGCATACACGAGGTAGATAATAAATAATTTCATAGGCTGAGATTAAGTAGATGGGATGTAGTGGCAATTCTGACTAGAAACTTGCTTACAATAGCTTTAATCAAAACTTAATTACCACAATCTAATGAAAGAACAGGTTTTTTTTCCCAAAAGAAAAAAAAAATGAAATCTTTTAATGCCAAACAAAAATTTTCATTCACAAAATTTAGACAGTAGACTCCTTTCTTGAGTCTGAAGGACTTGTGGTAGTGACTAGAATTTCTCCAGTTTCCACAAAGCCAGAACTTGTGTCACTTTCCTCAGTGGTCAAGTCTTTGATGTTGGTGAGAGTATTATTGTCCACTTTGGTATCTGTTAATGTGGAACTGTCCAGCATGGAATCACTAGTCTGGCTTGTTTGACTCGAGTCCATGGACTTAATGGAGTCCATTTTCTCATAGTCCCAAATCAAACTTCCAGTCCCGGAGGTCACTTCAGAGGGGCAGTAGGATTCAGTAGAGTGAGACAGGTCAGATGTGTCCTCCTTTGTGTCAATGTGTAGACTCTCACCTTCAAATTCTTCAAGATCCACTCCTCCTTGTCCTAGATTGTCAGGAGACTGACCATTATTCATTGACACAAGTTCAGTCTTTGCTGCACTAGTGCTTTTGCTGCTTTGGTTGACCTCCTCCATGCCCCCTTTTATATCGTCAGGAGTCACTGGTGCAGGGAGGCCCTGGGGTGCCTCAAATACCTCTGCATCATTACAAGACTGGATGAGGCGAGCTGCATTGTCTCTAGGCTTGTCTGTAGGCACCCCCTCACAAGAATGCACCATTCTATCACTTTCTGAGTGAGTATGCAGTCCTCTTGTTGGGGAACAAGAGTCTGAGTAAGTCTTAACCCTGTGTCGGGGGCTTCCTGTTGGAGAAGTACCATCCTTCTCATACAGGAAATTAGCTGAACGTCTTTTCATTTTCTTTTCAGCAGAGTTTTCTACTGAAGAAAGAGATCTTCTGTAAACCTGACTTGCTGGGGACTTGTCTACATCGCCAAAGGCTGGTGATCTGTTCTTTCGCCTCACAGCAGGAGAACTGTTTGCACTGTGAGAGGGGGATCCTCCAATTTTGGACAGATTCTCCAGGGACCCAGGATCTGATAAATTCACCTTATAGATCAGCTCTTCGAAATCCATAGACAATCTCTTATTGGCCTTTGATTCCTTGTCACATTTCCTCATCAGCAGTTGACATTTGTCATGAAGTTGCCTGGAAAAAATATAAGTGGTCATAATCTACTGCATTCTGAAAGCAGAATATGAGGAATTAAATCTGCCAATAAGAGTCAATAAACAGTTGACATGGGCACATTTACTTATTGCTCAAATTTCAATTTATGACAGAATTCATATAGTTCATTAGATGATTAAATAGTTGACTTCTGATTGAACACCATAAATGTATTATATAATCTAAATCATCTTAGTAACTTTCAGAACAATCCTCTGATGAAATAAAAGAAAAATTCCTTCTAAATGAAAAGCACCAAAAAAAATTTGATCATTAGTTATCTTACTTTTCATGATCAGTCTTCATGCTTATTATTGCCTCTAAGTTTTCTATTTTCTGCTGCTGGGCAATAATCTTCTCTTTTGCATTCCGGAGTTCTTCCGCCTATCAAATACATACATGCATTTTGAAGATTTTGAGTAAAAAATGACAAAAACGTATATAAACATGTAAGGCATCCAATTTTTTTTCTCATAGAAATCACATTCTATTACATGTATTCCAATGCCTAAGATAAAAATCAAGGCCAATAAACAGGTAAACACAGATTGTCAAACATCACTTGAATATATTCTTAATTCATTTTTGTCCTGACTTTATTTGTTATGACCAGATAATCAGATATTCACTAAAAACATTCTATCAATATACAAATCAGAATCAGTATTAAGGAACAAACCTGTTTTTCAAGTTCAATATTTCTGTTCTTCAGTTTCTGTATCTCCTCGTTCCTGATTTCAATGACAAGTTTCAGACTTTCAATTTCTTGTGGCAAGTTTTTGTAGGGAGATAATGCCATCTGTAAAATATAATGTAATGATTTTAGACTCAGGATCCCTCTTATATAAATTGTTTTAATAAAATTAATGTCACACATTTTTCATTACCATATGAAGGTACTCTGATAAGAGAAGTAACTCTTACTGGGATTATTGATTAATATTCCTATGAAAAAATTCAAGTTAAAAGGTGATTTCTGTCAAATATAGCCCTTTAAGATATGCTGATATTGTTTGCATTTCAGTTATAGATAAGATTTTTAATAGAAAATCATTGTCATTAATTTTATCTGATTGAACAGAGGGATGATAATTAAACCTTAGATAACTTTGAAAAGAAAAACTCAACTCAATTTTTTTTCCCTTTTAAACAAAGTGTTCTTCATTAGCTTTGACCTGAGGCCTTAAATAATAAGTAAAATACCTGAACTTTGACATCTGAGTCCCGTAAGAGGGCCTCCTCACTGGCCCGAGCTCGAGTTCTTAAATCATCACATTCACCACGAAGGGTCTCCACTTTTTCCTGTAAGATAAATTATGTACCGGTAATAATGCATTGTGGATTTTTGTTAAGGTCAATTTTTAAAAGTTAAAAAAAAAAACACAAATATATAAAATGTGATGTTAAGTAACTTACTGAAATATATATTTTTGTGTAAATATCTTATAATAAAGTTCTGTTTATTTTTATCACAGGTACTCGAAGTTTTAAACATTTTCTTTATACTGTACATGTAATTAAAAAAAAATCCCATACTATAGTATTATTATAGAATGGGAATTTTTACCTATACAGAAAATGTCTAAAACATCAAGTACCTGTTATCTTTGTGTATTTGCACCTCACACAAATAAGTAATGAGTCACATCCCATTACAAGAATAGATTTGTATCAATTTATTCCTGCAAATATACATATTAATAGAATTCTTGCAAATGTTTGTGTTAGTAATATTGCACATACTCATTGCCTTTTAAACAGAAGTGTGCATGACCACATATGTATTCAACTATTCATCCCTGGATTTCTTGAAAACAAGATTTATGGCAAGTTTGGTCAAAATTGGTCCAGAATTCTTGTGAAGAAATCAGAAATGTTAAAGTCAACAACAACAGCATATCAGAAGCTTGACAAATGACAAGCTGATCAGAACCAATAAGCTTTCATATCAGGTAACCTAAAATTATGGTATGCGCTTTTCAACATTTTCATTTTTTATTAGCATTTAAATTTTTAAACATAATTGAACTTACAGAGAGTCCCATTTTAATGTTTTCAAATCTGTGTGTTATTTCTTCGAGTCTGTCTCTGTGTTGCTTGTGAAGTTCTGCAATGGAAAACAAATATGCTTAAACCAAATCTAAAGTCCACCTTCTTATGTTTTGGCTGAATAAATAATCATTATGAATCTTGGGGGAAGGGGGGTGTCTTTAAAAGATGTGAAATAGTAAACATTAAATGCAGTTAATGTAATGAAGTTTCAATTCTATTCAACATTTACTGGGTGTATTCACAGACCTTTCTTAATTTCACTGTTTGCTTTTAAAATGTCTTAAAATGTTAAGACTGTTAAAATTCCCAGTTTTGTTTGGATTTTAAGTATCATATATATAAAGTTACTCTGATCTTAATCATACAGAGACCAAACAATTAGCCCAGGTCACACATAGATACTATCTGACATAGCTAAATAGAAAGTTAATGACATGAGTATAATATAAACTCCTACATATAAAGTGTTCCAAACAAATCAATAACTGGGCTAACAAACTCATTTAGAGTCATGAAACTTTCAGGTCCTTTCATAAGTTATTTTATAGGATAATCAATTCCTTTCACTGGGTAGAGAATTTACAAGTGAATGCACACTGCTGATATTAAGTATAAGATAATGCTCCATCCATTGGAGAGAAGTTCAAAGACCATTTCTAAACAGACACCATTAAATACTTATTAAATCTCTACATGTAGATAATCAATTCAATTCACTCAGGAGGGAATTTACAAGTGAATGCACATTGGTGGTATTAAAGGCTCTATCACTTGGAAAGGAATGCAAAGACCATTTCTAAACAGATGCTATTAAACATGTTAAATACACATTACAGTTTTACAAACTTATATAACAATAAAAAACCTGAGAATATTTAGAACAATCAATTTCATCATTCATACTTTCATCATCTAAACCCAAATTATTCATTTTTTATTATCATATTTTTTTTCATTTACTGATTTATAAATTCATATTTATCTAATATTTCTGTATTAAACCTGGGTTCTCGAATTCTAGTGAAACTTAATCATATTTCTTGAAAAACAAGAACCTATATTATATCCTGGCTATACCAGTGGTGAGGTAGTTGGGGGAGAGGCTGCACTATAAACTATAAAGTGTTTCATTTGGAATCCAAATCTTGACAAAATAGCCGAAAACAAAAAACAAAACAAAAAAATAATAAAAATGTTAATAAATCAATCAATCAATCAATTAAAATAATTTAAAAAAAAAAACAACAAAAAAACAAAAAAACAAACAAACAAGAGGCCCATGGGCCACATCGCTCACCTGAGTCATCTTGGCCCAGCTAAAATGAAATATGACCTAATATCCTGGCTTCATCGAAATTTAGACCAAATGTGTTCTGACACAAGTAAATTAAATCCACACAATAATAATAATTTTTAGTGATGAAATGTGTACTTTATACATACATGTAGAAGTTTTAAGGCTTTGGACATGCATATTCAATAATTTCTTTCATGACCTTAAGACTCTTCAAGACATATTTTGCTTGAAGAAGTTCGATCAGTTATTTAACTCCCTTCAGTCAATAAGGAAAACACATAATTATGATTGTGTTCAAAAACTTTATTCATTTACAAGAAATTTATGCAAGTCTTAAGGATAATCTGAATGTAACACTATGCAACTTTTTAGGAAAAATAGGAGATAAAATGTTAGACAAGCTGGTACAAATCAAATTATGTTGACACATTTGAGACTAGTAAATATAATTTGAAATATATTACTCATTTGTTGTTAAACTACATGTACTTTCATGTATATACATCTGAAGTAATAGGTCAAAAACATGTATTTATAGTAATCACTGTAATTAAATATGAATTTAAAAATTGCAAATGACAATAAATAAAAAATGAAAAGTAAACAGCATGGAAAAATTTGAGTATGCTCACATGAAAATTCAGTCATAATATGCATGTGTGTCTTACGAAATATAATCACTCAATATAGATAACCTTTCCCTACGAAAACGAAAGAAGGGAAAGATTATGTGGAACTGAATGAGAATTAGAGAAAGAAAGAAGCTTAATTTCAGGTTTTACTATATACATAAAAATTTGCCTTAAATTGTGTAATATTAAATGACAATAATGATGTTTATTTTGGATAGATAATTGCAATACCAGAACCTCAGACTCAAATAATCTTATTGAAAAAATAAGGTAGCTTTTTTTTCTTCTTCAGTTTTTAAATCTAATTGTAGTAAAATCATGTGCTATCATTTTTGAGAGCATTTTTTCCAATATTTTTCAGAAAGAGGTAGGTTTACCTCCCTTTACGGGCTGGCCATTGACCTCCTCTTTCCATACTTACTTGTAAATTATACATTTTGTACACAAAGTTGATTTAAAGAAAGTCATCATTAATTACTTGATAATCACAAAAATCTACATGATCCATGGTAGGTGGAATTCATTTGAATCATATCTGAGGTTTCACAATGAAAAACCTACTGTATAATGTAATTATTAAACTGTAAGCATTAAAATTGTTATTCACAAAGGTTATTTTCAAGAGGCATATTTTTAAAAGAAGTTCACAATACAAATAAGACGAAATCTAACTATAATTACTATTTTGTATTAGTTTTATCATTCGTTTCTAGCAAACAAGTTAGAAGATTGACTGGCACATATATCCATGCAATTAAATGTTCAAAATATTTGAGCAAAAGTTACAAGTCTGTCAATGAAGAGATCCAACTCGGTGGTTTCCAGATTCTATAAGGTGCCACATATTCATTTCAGTAATATATGTATATTATATCTGGCAATTACTGCTTGGAGTGTCAAAATCACATACAGTAGCTTCAAAAGAGTCAGATTCACAGCTAATAGCATGGTCTAAGAATCACAATCACTGTAGTCTATGAAAGAATATCCTTCAATTGCAGAAAGATCACAAGGTATTAAAATGAAAAGCTCCCAACAGAAAAATTCAGTTTTCAGTATAAAATATAATCCAAATGTCACAAGGGACAGATGGAGCATGACTTCTGAAACATCAATACTTTTTGTAATTTAAGACACTAACCCTATAAATTGTAATACATATACATGTATTCAGAATAGATAAGATATATCCTATAAAATGAACTACAAAATGAATATACAGGATTACATGTAACAATAATGGAAGTATAAAGAAAAATCTCAACAAATTTACAAACATTATATTCGAAAGTATACCTTGTTATATATATATTTATATATACATGAAGAGTTGTTCAAAATTTTACATATCTTAAAAATAAGCTGAGACTTCAACAGTAGATGTACTGGTAATTGGTGAAAATGTAATTACATGTATTGTATGAATATGACCTTACTTTGATTACATTAAGAATTCAGTACAACTTGTTGTAAAAGCAGCTAAAAAAAAAAATAATTTTTACAAAGGAAATCCTATCCAAGTGAACATATATACATGTACATCAACACAATAAGAAACAAATATGCAAAAGACACTCGGGTTAAAAATTTAAATGTCTCAAAAACAACTGTATAATAATGCAAACAAAGATTAAGTAAAAAATTCACATTTTCAAAGCTTTATGTTATAATAAAAAAATATAATATATATTTTATAAGGTGCCTTACAACTAACACTGGATGCCTAAATAGGACTGATACCCCCGTCAAGGTAAGGTGGAGACATGCTTCTCTGAAATCTTGCATAAATCATACTGCAAATCCCATGTCCTTAATCTTGTTGAGATGACTGCAATTTGCTGAGGGTCATGATAGTTTCTACCTTCATATTGAAAAATGACCTTATATATACAATCATAGCATGAGATTATGACAGACCTCCTCTTCTCCTCTGAGCAACATTTGCCAAAGTTTGACCTTGTTTAATCCAAAACCAAAATTTTGTCTGTCAGAATTATACACATTTGAACTCTGTGACCTTGATCTTTTCTCAAATTACCTTTCTTAATTGTCATGACATTATCATAAATTTTTTTTAAAAAGTTTCAGATATTGACAAAGCCACAGACAGATGGACATGTTGATTCCAGTATACCCCTCAAACTTTGTTTGAGGGGCATAATAAAACACTGGAACAAAGGGATGAGGGAGGGGGCATTCTTAAGCATCTCCCTCTGAAATGTTTTACTTTGGTGCCCCATTGTATTTAACGCATAGTCTTATCAAATGCACAGTACACCATTTTATGATCTGACCAGTATGCTTCAATCACATCTGTTTCACATGGGGATATGTTAGTAAAAATCAAGTCAAGTTGAGAACCAGAGTCATGAGTACTCTTACTCACAATTTGTTTACAGTTGAAACCTTTTTCCATAAATGTTAGAAATTCTTTATGCCCAGTAAACAAATCAAAATTAAAATCTCCTAAGAATACCAAGTCTTTCTGGTCATCAATCAAGGGTTTTATATGCATTTCCACATGTTGTTTAAAATCCCCAAAAGAGCAAGATGGATATTTGTAAATAACTACAACTTGGGCATCTCTACTTTGGTTTAACTGTACATTTACCATGATGAACTCCATAGAACCACTGTTCAGTTTTGAGATGCAGGTTGTTTTGTAAACATTTTTCACATATACAGCTGTTCCATGATGCGGACGTCTATCCAGATTAGCTGTAGCCTCATGGTTAAATACTGCAGTGTATCCCTGTAGTTGATAATTTTCAGCTACATCTGCACTAGTTAATCTTGTCTCTGAGAATCCAACTACATCTGATGCGGCAATATTTGGTTCATTTTGAATTTGTGGAAAGTGTTTATGAAGGGATCTACAATTGTTGAAAGCAATTTTGAAAGAACACAAGTCAACCTGATATAATGGGACATAACAAAGTTGTAGTGGTACATCTTTTTTCATTCTTTCCATTTCCTCTATCACTTGTTCATCCATAGCTAATGCCTGCTCATTGAAGTTTAGGATGTGAAGATGTTCTACTGAACGTACCCGGCTTAGTGCTACATAGTGAATATGTGGATTTTTCCTTACTTTAGTCTGAGACAAATCAACTACAATTTCATCTA